TAGAGATTAGGCTAGGGTCAGAGTTTAGAGGATTTTGAATGTCATGCTAAGGAGTCTGAATTTATCTTACGGATCACTTAGTGACTCATGAGCAAAGGACAAAGAGAAGCAACTTTGGAACTTTAAAAAAATTCATCTGTTAGCAATAAACAGGATGAACTGGAATGGGATAGCTGCGAGGCAGGGAGACCAGTTAGAAGGTGACTGATACAGATCCAGTAAAAGAGGAAGGGCACTGAACTCAGGTGAAAGTAACAGAAATGGGATTCTTTATATGTCAAGAGGGAGTTCTGCTGTTTTTAAATTTCTGTATATTTCAAGGATATTTCATACAAAGTAAATGCCCAAATCAAGCCAAGGGGCCCAATCATCTGAGAATCTATTAAACATCTATAACAAAAGTTATCTCATTTTAGCCCCAAAAGATTATCTGAGGCATAATCATGTACTCAAATCCAAGGGTAAGGTTCATCTTCCAAAAGATACAATCTAGCTACTATCAGCTCTAGAAAATTCACATTATTTCTATACTAACATTTAACAATGCTCTTGGGAAATGACAAACAATCATGTTTTGAGAACAAATATTTTTTGCATTTTTTTCTTTCCCTCATCTTTATCAGAGCAGATATTTGCATGAAAACAGGACCACTGGTCCTCAGGGATTCATCAGTTCCTACTGCTTATTTTTCATCCATGTCATCCTCTCAATTAATGCAGGAAAGAGGATTGAGACATCGAAACACCAGATTAGGGTGTCAAGTAAAAGCCAACCCCTAGAGTAGATGAATAATCTGTAAGGACAAAAAAAAAAAGGTCGTGTTTTTATGCAAATATACTATACACAATAAAACAAAGGGAGACTGTATCCAAGAATACACATCAATGTAATTATTTCCATTTCTAACTTTAAAAACTGTTCTCTTATGTTAGCTAAATTCACTATAATCAAGGAAAATGGTAATCAGTTGCAAAGTACTGCTACAGAAGTCAAAATAAGGCTGTATTTTGAACTAGAAGATAATTTTGAAGACTCTTAGCTGTGCTCATGGGACTTATCTGGCAGAAACAAGCATATGTTGTACAGTTTGGGTTCAGTACTGAAAGTGGCTGAGTCAGGTAACTTTAAACCCCCACTTCTAATGCCTTAAATTTTTAGAAATATAAAATATATTTTATTAATTAAAACAAAGCAAAACAAAAACCCACCAAATTTATTTATTCTGTGGGAAGTCATTAAAATAGACTTTATTTAGAATAAGATGTACTCCATGTTTGTATAAATATGTCAAAATATACTGTATAACTAAAAAGAATAAATAGAAATAGACTTTATTGATGCTTAAGAAACTGACTCATTATCCTAAAAACTAACAAATAAAAAGAATCATTTATCCTGTTGTTCCAGTAGGAACAGATTGCAAGGCAATCAAATAGTCATTTATAGGAAAATTTCAGACAGTAAGAAGGAATGACAGAATTATGATATAACACTATTATCATCTTTTTTTCCAAACATTTTTTTAATTGTAGGTGGACACAATACCTTTTACTTTATTTTTATGTGGTGCTGAGGATTGAACCCAGTTCCTCACGCATGCTAGGCAATTGCTCCACCTCTGAGCCACCTACCATTTTTAATTGTGGACCCAGACAGTAATCAAAGTGTACTCATCTAGGTGTTAAGTTTGATGGAGAAATTTAAAGCTATTTTCAGCTCGTTTTATCAATTATTAATCTTAATAGCACACAAAATAAGACAAACAGACTCAATACACCTCTGATAAATAGACAGAATACCACCTATGAAACATTCTTGTCAAAATAAAAATTAAAAATCAAGACTATATGTGTGCAAACTTCTGTATCTAATTACCAGGAAATAAATAGGGATGGATGAACATGGTAAGCTCAACCTCAGGGATGTAATCAACAAAATCCAGAATATGGAAAATTCTATAGAACAAATGTCTAGATTTAATAAATGACAAGGGAAAATAAAAGAAAGGTAAAATAATGACAGACTAGAAGAGATTTAAAGACATACCTTTCAAATATCAAAGATCTTGTCTCAAACCAACTAAAGAGTCATTTATGACTCAATCAGGAAAAAATGAATCCTGATTGGTTACTTTATGGCATTACCAAACAAGTTGGGCCTGGTGGTGCAAACCTGTAGTCCTAGCTACACAGAAAGTTTAGGTGAAGGATTAATTGAGCCCATAAGTTCAGGAACAGCCTAGGCAACATACCAAGACCCCTTCTCGAAAACAATAAAAAAAAAAATTTAGGCATAATAGAAGTGTGGTTACATTATTTAAAAAGTCCTTGTATTTTGAAAACACTTGTGAAATTATTTGGTAGAAAACATTAACTGAGGGGCTGGGGATGTGGCTCAAGTGGTAGCGCGCTCGCCTGGCATGCGTGCGGCCCGGGTTCGGGTTCGATCCTCAGCACCACATACAAAGATGTTGTGCCCACCGAAAACTAAAAAATAAAGATTAAAAAAGTCTCTCTCTCTCTCTCTCTCTCTCTCTCTCTTTAAAAAAAAAAAAAAAAGAAAGAAAACATTAACTGATGCCAGGGACTTGCTTTAAAATAATTACAGGAGGTTATTATAAGCAAAACAAGATGAGCCATATATTGATTACTGAAGCTGGTAATGGGTGTGTAAGGTATTATTCTGTTCTCTCTACTTTGATATGTTTAAAATTTTCCATAATAAAAAGTGAAAAAAATTTCTTCATTATTTTCTCATTAGAAAAGCAGCAAAAGAAAAAGTAAATGGGGAAACAACAATTTCAGCTACACTAACTAGATAATACAGCTGACAAATAAGTTTGGTAATATAGCACCCTCTTGATATAATAAGCATAAAGTTTATTTTGTTAAAAGACATAGATAAAGCATTGATGATTAAGATGATTACAGCATTTATTATCCTAAGCTAGAAACAAACTCAAGGAATTCTATTAAATCTTGCATTCATGAATTTAAAAAATCACAGATTTGCCTTTTCATTATGAACCCTGAGGGTCCATGACATAGCTAGTAATTAGTAATTTTGCAAAGACATAAACCTTAATCATAAGAACTAAATCACAGGATAGACAGGGGGTAAGTTATCATTGAGTGAATCAAGCAAACCACATATTGGTCTCTATTCCTTGATTCATGAGTGATTAAAAAATATCTTCTTGATAAAGGAAATCCAACTGTAGGTTGAGGATATAGCTCAGGGATACAGGGCTTGCCTAGTATATATGATACCCAGGGTTTGATCCCCAGCACACACACATACACAAAATGACAAGACAGTTGCTGAATATAGTAATGGAAACAAAGAAAAGATAAAGAGCCGGGCACAGTGGCACACTCCTATAATCCCAACGACCCAGGAGCCTGAGACAGGAGGATCACAAGTTCAAGGCCAACTTCAGCGACTTAGTGAGACCCTGTCTCCAAAAAAAAAAAGGCTAGGGATATAGCTCAGCTGGTAGAGTGCTTGTCTCACATACATAAGACCCTGGGTTCAATTCCCAGCACCACAATAAATAAATAAATAAATATAAATAAAAAGGGCTGGGGATGTAGCTAGTAGTGAAACACCCCTAGGTTAAATCCCCAGCACTAAACTTAAAAACAGAAAAAGAAAAGAAAAAAAAAAAAGGATAAACAGAACTAAGAAAATGATGACTGTTTGTCAAAAATTAGAAATTTTAAATGTTGAAGCAAAATGCTGAAGTTAACAAATCTACTATATGTTCTACATGCTCTAAAGAAACAAGAAAAATAGCTTGGAAAACTATTTTGGGGATTGCTCCAATTAATACAAAACTTGAATTTTTTAATTATTATTTTTATTTGTTCTACTTAGCTGTACATGACCACAGAATGTAAACTTGAAAATTAAACATCATAATAGTATCCTCAAGATCAAAATCATGAATTTATGAAAGTCTCAGGAGGAAACCCTTGAAAACAAGGTCTTACCACTGTACTCATGTTGACTATCTTTTTTTTCAATTACAAAGCAAGAATTTTCATTCATTCCTTTTCCAGTTTCACAATAAGTATAGTATGAGAAGAGATATAATGTATAAAGAAATTTAATCTTAAACTAAAGGAATGGAGACTAGACAGCCACAAATGAGAAATTTTAAAGCATTACTCATGGCAGCTAATACATTCTTGGTCTGTATGCATTTAAAAGCATATAAAAAAATTTCTAATTTTATATGCTTTTCTTTGGGAAACCAACCCTTTACTCCTGTTCCCTGTGATTTATGTCAAATGAACACCTCTTAGCTGTGTCTGCACACAGGCTAACATAGGCCTGGTCCATCAGATTGCTCCAGGCTATCTGGCCAAAGGACTGGTTCAAGGTTGGAGACATGAGGCAACAAAAAACAACGCAAGTCTTCCCCAGGAATTTTCAAACACTTCTTTCTTCTTTTGGGATCATGAAATTCAAAAATATATGAACTGGACCTCCTTTTGGCCACCTTCCTCAGTGCTGAGAAAAAGCTATCTGCAGCAGCAAAGAATAAAAGACTAACGTATCCATGAAGGTGAGTTTTGATATGCAACACAAAGCAAGAATTAGAGTGCATCCCAATGCTATCATTAAAGGTTATGGATTTAGATGACCCCAAAGCTATTCTCTACCCCCTGGACTTTTAATTTACATGAACTAATAAAGTCTTTCTTCAGTCTTCAAGTAAGCTAGTTCAAGTTGATGTTCTATAACTAAAAACTGAAGGATTTCAATAGGCTTTTACTGCAAAGAGAAAAATAATTTTTTACGTAGTAAATCCCAGTTAATTATTTCAGCATACTCTATCATAAAAGGCATACTGTAGAGTAAATACATTGACTTCTTACCTTCAGTCACTTATCTTTTCCCTAATAAAGGGACTATTACATTTTCCTGAAGTGTAACTTGAAATTCAGGAAATACACAACATGTAACCCCAAGTAAATGTGATCTGTGTACTTACACTCATCCAGCCCCAGTTGATAGGCCAGGTTCTGTAGACCTCGTACCTTCTCCATCAAATTAGCTGTGGTGAGACTTCCCAGTTCTAAAACAGAATCATTTATTTCAATACCATTTCTTTCCACTGTTTTCTAGTAATAATTCATTTGGGTTGTGAATCCTGGCTATAAAAGTTTTACAGTACAACGTGGGCACAGCATGCACAAAGCCAGAGTTTAATCTCCCACACCACCAAAAAAGAAAAAGAAAGAAGAGTTTTCAAGTTAATTCCTATTGAATAAGTAGAAAATGGGTTCATATTTCTTCTCCAATCTTTTACACACACACACATACACACACACGCATACACACACACACACACACACACACACACGAAACCAGTGAAATTTTCCACTATTGCAAAATGCCTTGAAATGATCTTTCCCATTTAATAAGAAAAGAGCAACAGTAACAAATTAAGTATTTTATCCTAAGGATCCTTTTATAGCATTCATTTTGTCTAGTGCAAAATGCATACATCATTAAAATACAGAACCTTATGATAGGACTGGGGTTGTGGCTGAGTGGTAGAACACTTGCGTAGCGAGGCGCTGGGTTCAATCCACAGCATCACATAAGAATAAATAAATAAAGATATTATGTCCATCTACAACTAAAAATATTTTTTTAAAAAGCAAGCTAAATTACTAAAAAAAAAACTTATGATATGCCATAGCATTGAAAAAGCCCTGAAAAATGGACAGTCTCCATTTACAAGTCTCCAGATTTCAACTAACAATAAAATAGCAACAAAATATTATTTCCCATTTTCCAAACTTTTCCAAAGTTTAGAAAACAGACTAGATATAAATCCAAACTTACCCTTCAAATCAAATTCCTATAAAAAAATTTTAAGTTTTCCAAGTAAAAAGACGTAATACTAGAAATAAAAACCTACTTTCCCAGATTTTCATTTAAGTAGGACACAAATCCTTTTAGTTTTAAAACACAGGTCAATTTTGCATGGAACATAATGAGATCTCTCACTTAAAATTTGAAGTTTCCTTAGGAAATGCATATTAATGGGATATTAAATAAATGTCTGTTTGGAACATCAGAACAATGAACCTGAGATGCCCTTGAGACTTAATTTTTTCCATGGCTAGAGGAAGGGAATCTGTATTTAAGCATGCAGAACAATGAATTACTTCTGAAATCAAATAAAGATATTTTTTTCTCCCATTTATCATGCTGCAGTCATTATCTATATCTGGCATAAGGAGACTTTCTTGATCTGTTCAGGCTGCTTAAATAGCTTAAGACTTCCAGATTTTTTACCGTAATTTCAGTCTATTACTTCACAACCATCATGAATCTTATCACCAGAAGGACAATAAAATAAATAGTGGAAAATTAATGTTTTTAATTTAAATTTCTGTTCTGTGACTGAGTTCCAAATCATTCATCAAACGTAATATTCACTACTTCTAGAATTCTTTATGGAAGAAACTAAAAGGATAGGAAGAGAAAAAAACCAGCTCTTAACCCCTTAAGAAAGGTTGTCATTTAAGCATAGCAATGACAGCAATATATGCTATGAAATCCTAAATAAGGCACTGTGTTTTAGTAGAAAAAGCTTAGACTTAAAAGAACTCTTTCTAATAAATCTTGGTTAGTTAACCTCTGAACCATGGACATCATTATACCTAACAGAACTTTGATGACAATTAAGTAAGAAAATTTATATGAGAGGTTTTTTGTCAATTGGCATTATACAAAATAAACTTAATATTAAAATAATTAGCAACAGAAAAATTGTGACAATCTTGAATTGTCACAATTGTGACAAGGTTTTTTACAAATGGAAAAAGTAGAGAAAGGCATTTCAGATGTGAAGAACTATGAGTAGGGATGGTTAAGTAGGCAGTCTGAAGCCAATAATACTTGAAAGAGAAAAGTAAAAGAAAAATTGGAGGTGGTTTGTGTCACATGTCTGTAGTCCTGACTACTCAGGAAGATGAGGTAGGGGGATCACTTGAGCTCAAAAGGTGAAGACCAGCCTAGGCAACAGAATAAGATCCCATTTCAAAAAATAAAGTTAGAAAACACCAGCACCACTTACCTTTCAACATGTCAATGTCATCCCGTTCTATTTCAGCCATCCATTTGGGTGGAGAGCTAGTAATAGGCTGTCAGAAAATAATATATCCATTCAGATACATACAAAGTATGAAGAGACCCTACTCTTCATTCCTATAAGAAATGTAGCTTAAGGGGCTGGGGTTGTGGCTCAGTGGTAGATCACTTGCCTAGCATGTGTGAGGCCCTGGGTTCGATTCTCAGGACCACATAAAAATAAATAATAAATGTCCATTTTGACAACTAAAAAAAAAATATATATATATATACATATATATATATATATCTTGTTACCCAGCCTTCAGGCTGTTTGAAAATACTTGCAAATTATAATTTCAAAAATCCAGATTTTTCTAGGTTCAGATATGACTTACAAACAATCACCTTACAAAATAATACTGCTCATCTTTTCATTTATTTATTTATTTTCTTAGTTGCAGGTAGACACAATGCCTTTATTTATTTATTTTTGTATGTGGTGCTGAGAATTGAACCCAGTGCCTCACACATGCTAAGCAAGTGCTCTACCACTGGGCCATATCCGCAGCCCAATACTGCTCATCTTTAAAGCTGAAATCAGAGAGATGTTGTTAAAAGAACTTGGTGAGACTAGTATTACTATTTCAAGTTAGTATAGCATTGAAATTCCATTCTGATGGCAGAAAGAAGACTCAAAAATGTGAAAACCCTAAACTAACTGACAGAATAGAGAGAATGGTCATTACTTAAAATTTACCTCAGATATACTGATTTAGAATATCTGGGACTGGGGAAGGGTTCAGTGGAAAGAACAGAGCAAGGGAATCCACAAATAGACTTTCTAAAAAATATATTTTTAGTTGTAGATGGCATAATAACTTTATTTTATTTATTTTTGTATGTGGTGCTGAGGATCAAACCCAGTGCCTCACACATGCTAGGTAAGCACTCTACCACTGAGCCACAATCCCAGCCCCACAAATGGAATTTTTAAAGCTCCATAGCTACACCAATTCTGTCACATACAACAAACAATACTTCAACCCTTGAATCTTCTCCCTTTTTAAAAATTAAAATTGAGTTGGTATTAACCATGTAACAAGCAAACACTTTGCATCATGTCATTTACACCTAAAACAACTCTATGAAGTAGGTATTATTATTTCCATTTTACAAATGAAAAAAAAATCAATGTAGATTTTAAATTACTTAGCCACACACCTAGAGGAGTCAAGATTCAAAATTTACATAATCAGAGTCCAGAAACCATGATGAGTCCTCTAGGTTGCCTCCCCTAAGACACTCTACATTGAATTCACCATTTTTATCCCAAGTAGGGATGCTAACTAGGGTCCTAGGTGGAGGTAGAAAGAAAACTCAGCGTATGTATATGCACATTTCTAGGAAAAAAGATATAGATATTTAACCAGATTTTTTAAAAACACCACACTCCAAAATCATTATGTAAAACAAATAAATCATTCTTCACCAAACCTCACTCTTCAAATGAGTACACATACACACACACACACACACACACACACACACTTATATTTACAACTTAAAATATTTACTTATAACCAAATATAATTAACTAAACTGAAAACCAAGTATAACTGAGATAAGAAGAAAATCAAATCATATACTACCTGCTCTATCTATTAGACAAAAGTTGATTCAATAGTAATGCCACCTTGCATTGTTGATTACATCCTAGACACTAGGCAGTGTTTTACATGCATTATGAAATTCTATACAATAACTTAAGGTGAAAAACTAAAGTTCAAAAATATTAGAAACCTGCTCAGATCACAAAAAGTTTAATAGCAGAGTCACTCTAACACAGGTGTGCCTGACTCAAAAGCTCCATACAACTGCACTCTAAGGCCTAGGCCTTACAAGATGCTGAGGAAGCAGAGGCAAATACTCATACCCGACTCTTTAACAAATGAAAGAGGCTACAAAGTCTAGATTCCCTTGGAATAAAACTCACAAAATCTAAAAGCCTCAGGTCAAGAGGAGGATATTTAACTCAGCACCTTGCACTCTAAATAATGAGAAGAGAATGCTAAAAATATAGTAAGAGACAGTGGGAGTTATGTCACAACCCCCAACAATATGGTTTGAAAGAAAGAGCTTGGGCTTTGGAATTAGACAGATCTGAATTCAAATCCTGGTCTACCACTGCCTAGGAGTTGAGCAAGTAACTTAGCAGTCAAGTTTCAGTGCTAGTCGGTGCTTGAAACAGTGGGCTCAAATCCTATTTAGTGTTAAGAATATAGAGGCCATAACAAGTTCAAAAACCTGATTCTTCCATTTAGAGTCTATAACCTTGGGTAACTTATGTACCCACAACCATTCTTGCAGATATCCTTGTCTGGGATGATTAATTATAGTACTATCTCATCTGGTTTTGTAAAGATTAAATAACATATGTAAAGTACTTAGAACAGTGCCTGGCACATGGTAAGCACTATGATGCTATCATTAACATCATATTTTCCTGGTTGTGGGAATATATGACCTTCAGCTTAATTTATTAAACCTAGTAACTAATTAGTAGATCTTACCTTATTATATGTGTAGGTCAATTTCATTCCTTTAAATATATTTTATTACATGAATACATTATAGTTTGTGTATTCATATCCTATTTGGGGACATAAGCTACATTCAGTGTTTTATTTTGCAAATTTTATTGATGAGAGCTGGGCATAGTGGTGCACAAGGTCTGCTGCTGTAGAAGTGGAAAAGTCTGTGGCTCTTATGAATGCCTTCTCTCAGGTTTCTAATGAAACATGGAGAAATTAGAAAATTCTCTAAGGAGAAATAAGTTTACACCATAATGCATTGGATAATTAAAAGAGAAAGCTTCAAAATTATAGTTTGAACAAAAAAATACTACCAATACATTAAATATTTCAACTGCCTTACCTTAAAAGCTCTCAAACTGAGAAAAGAGGTTAAGAAACAAAGGAAAAAATGTCAAAATAGAGCATCTGAACAGAGAAATGCATTATTAACCATTAACATGATGACAATATAAATAGATTTATAGGACTGCAGTTAGAAAATAATTTGAAGGCTATCACATGGTTCATGAAAATAAAGAATTGAGAGATTAGAGCTTTCACCCAGGAGAAAACTTTAGATAAACTTCATTAGGAAAATAAGATATTACTTACACTTTTGAAGGAAGCTGCAAATTCAGCAACACCTGGTACTGAAAAGAAAAAAAAATTATTCATTCAACAATCTTTGAGTGCTCAGGCATAAAGGATTACTCATTTAAGTGTATCACAGGAAGAATTAGATTAAAATACAGAAAAACAAGGGCTCCTTTGGAAGATTTACACTTGCTAGCAGTGCTTGCATCACATTCTGGTAAAGGCGTGGTTATGTGGCCTTTGGGTTAGGATGAACGATGCTCCCAGTAGAAGCAGGGGGACTGAGCCAGAGCTGTGGCCAGAACATGGGAGCAGTTAGACTGACCATTGTTGCAGCAGGTCATTATGTTTTACAAGCCATGAGGCATAAGGAGCCTCAAGTAAAACAAATTCTTAAAAAAGACTACCAAAAATTGCCATCAGTGGTGACTATTACAGAGGTAGATTTGAACCCCAAATGAGAAGAGGAAGCAGCATTAATACTTGGTTTAAGCCCTACTACTTCTTTAGGAAAAACAAGATGCTCTTAAATTACCCACAGAAGGATTTCCTTAGATAGGAGCCTAAATCAATGAAGTTAAAGATTGATTAGAAGGTCAAGCTAAAAAATGAAGCAAATGTATGATGAATTATTAGTTTTAAAAAATAAAAAACAGATAGTTAAAAGGGAAATGATGTTCAAACTTACTAATAAAGAAACACAAACTTAATAGAGGTTGGTAACAGCAAAAATTGGCTGGTTCGTGAGAAAATGGGCACTCTGTTCCACAGTCATCCTCTTCCATGTACACAAACACACTGCAAAGATACTCATTAATAAAGGTTGCTGTTGTTGTTTGCAGTACTGAGGGTTGAACTCAGGTATGCTCTACCATTGAACTACATCCCCAGCCCTTTTTTATATTTTTTATTTTCAAACATGTTCTAGCTGAGTTGCCAACGTTGGCCTTGAACCTGTGATCCTCCAGTATCAGTTTCCTTAGTTACTCAAATTACAGGTATGCACCACTATGCCCAGCTCTCATCAATAAAATTTGCAAAATAAAACACTGAATGTAGCTTATGTCCCCAAATAGGATATGAATACACAAACTATAATGTATTCATGTAATAAAATATATGTATTATTTCAAGGATCCTTACTTTCTGTCATACAATCTTCTGGAAAAAATACACAAAACAGCTATTATCATTGGACATCAATTTCTTCACTTTGAAGTGAAATGAAAACTTTAATCATTACAGTTACTTGATAACTCTTCAAAAATTTCCCACGGGAATACTGGTTCTCATGCATCTATAATGATAAGAAGAAAGTAAAAACTTACATTGTTCTGGCCAAAGATCTGGTGAGGCACGGTCAAGTTTTTCAAAACTTAGCAAAGATGCTTCCAAATCTGTCCCTAGGACGAAACACCCAGATTAGACATAAAGACAGGAAACACATTAATTTCTACTTTATTACATTTCAATCTCAACGTAAACTGAAATACTCAACTGGAAGTCTAGAGATTTGAGTTCTATAACTACTAATGATCGTTATGTAAAACAAATAAATCATTCTTCACTAAATCTCACTCTTCAAATGAGTAAAACAGGAGTGATTTGTTTTTTTCTTTTGAGTACCTGGGATTGAACTCAGGGGCACTCAGCCACTGAGCCACATCTCAGCCCTATTTTGTATTTTATTTAGAGACAGGATTTCACTAAGTTGCTTAGCATCTCACTTTTGCTGAGGTTGGCTTTGAACTTGAGATCCTCTTGCCTCAGCCACCTGAGCTGCTGGGATTACAGGCTTGTGCTACTGTGCCTGGCTAGGAGTGATATGTTAGATGAGTGTTAAGAAAAATAAGTATTAGCTGGGTTCGGTGGCACACACTTGTAATACCAGTGATTTGTGAGGCTAAGGCAAGAGGATCTCAAGTTCAAGGCCAGCCTCAGCAATTTAGCAGGACCCTGTCTAATTTTTTTTTTTAAATAAAGGACTAGGTATGTTACAATCAATTGAGTATCCTTTACTCCCATGAAAGATAAACTCCTCTGCTAGAACTCTGTATTCCATCTTGCTTTGTCAAGAACAACACCTTCAATATCTTCCTCTTCATTTTCTATTTTCTCTAGACTCTACTCAACAGCAAGCAAGTCTGCTCTAGAATTTCCCTTCTGTTATTTTTTTGTTTGCAGTACTGGGGATTGAACACAGGGGCAGCACTAACCTATATCCCTAGCCTTTTTATATTTTGTTTTGAGACAGGGTCTTTTTTCCTAAAGTTGTAACTGACCTCAAATTTATGATCCTCTTGCCTCAGCCTCCCAAACTGCTGTATTATAGGCATGTGCCACCATACCTGGTGTAGAATTTCTTTCTTTCCTTCTTTTGGTATTGGGGATTGAACTCAGGGGGCACTTAACCATCAAGCCAATCACTCTTTTTATTTTGAGACAGGGTCTCACTAAGTTACTGAGGCTGGTTTCACACTTGCAGTCCTTCTGCCTTTTTTCTGAGTAGCTGGGATTATAAGCATGCACAACCATGCCTGACTCTACACAATTTCCTTACTTTAAAAAAACAAAAACAGAAACCAGCCAGGAATTGTGGCACTCACCTGTAATCCGAGCTACTCAAGAAGCTGGGCAGGATGATCACAAGTTTGAATCTAGCCTGAGCAATTTAGCAAGACCGTCTCTCAAATTTTTTTAAAGTTAAAACAATAAAAAAGGCTGAAAATAAAGGTAGTGTATTTATCTACTATAAACAAAGATATTAATAAAAAAAGAAAAAAGGTGAATTCTAGCTACTGCACTTGCCTAACATGTGTGAGGGCCCTGGGTTCAATCCCTAATACTAATGGGAGATTTAAAAAAAAAAAACATAACCTCCTCCATGTCCTTCACTACTAAAGCTCTAGAGTTGTCTATCCTGTTGTCTTTCTTTCCATTCTTCACTTCACATTCTCTCCTTAACCTATGACAAGCAGGCTTCTGTTCCTACACATATGGATAGAACATACATACTGCATTATAAAGGACATCTGTGACCTATGTTGTTAAATCCAATGGTCATTTCTCTTTTCTCTCTTCTGTGATCTGATTACTCCATTTCTTTTCTTTTTTTAAAATATTTATTTTTCAGTTTTCAGTGGACACAACATCTTTATTTTATTTTTAAGTGGTGCTAAGGATCGAACCCAGCGCCCCGTGCATGCCAGGCGAGGGCGCTACCACTTGAGCCACATCCCCAGCACCTTGATTACTCCATTTCTAACAACCATGCTGGTTTTTCTCCTAGTTCTTGACTCCTTGCTGGCTCAGCTCCTACCTCACCTAGTTCCACAACTCTTACCACATCTATGGGCCAATGACTCCATATTTACATTACCACCTTTCTCCTGAGCTTCAGTTATATATGTTTAAATGGCTACTTGACAAGTCTCTCCATTTATTTAAATGTGTGAAAACTTCTTAAACTTAGTATGTTCAAAATCATAATTTCCCAATCCTTGCCAACTCAAGAAACTGCAATATCCTAAACCCAAATTCTCTAACCAAAAGCCCAGATTCATCTTTCATGCCTCCTTTTCAGGAACTGTTCTAATCCATCAGTAAATTCAACAGTTTCTTCTCCAAAATACACCACAAAATCAAATGTATACAAGAAGCCATTACTTCTCTCTTGCACTACTTCAAAAACCTCTAAATAGACATCCCTGCTCCTGTTCTTACTCCTTCCCTTTCACCCTCAGACCTATTCTCCACAAAATAGCCAGATACTACTTTTCAAAAATGTCAGTCATGCTCGGCATGGTAGCACATGCCTGTAATTCCAACTACATGGGAGGCTAAGGCAAAAGAATGACAAGTTTAAGGCCAATCTGGGCACCTTAACCAGACCTTGCCTCAAAATAAAAAGTAAAAAAATGTAGCTCAGGGGTAGAACGGCCCAAGTACCCACCCTCCACACACACACACACACACACACACACACACACACACACATGATTATTAATTTTATTAAATCACAACCCTTAAGTACATGTCTTTTCAATACTGGGAGTACCACACCAGAGTACTCAGAGAACACTTCAGTAAACTGAGTATGATGATTGTCTTAGTTGGTCCACTGTGTAAAAATGGAAGATCATGTTTATTTTAGAGAAAGTGGTAGAGTGTTCCCAGGTTCAGTCCCCATTCCCATCCCCCTCTCTGAAAAAAAGGCAATCAGTTAATGTCATTCTCCAACTTAAAAGTTCTTTTTTCTAGCTAAATCTCAAAGTACATATCTACCATGTCCTATAAAATTCTACCCGATTTAGCCTCTCATTCTTTGACCCTACTTCCCCTCTATTTTCCCCTACACACAACAGGTACTTTAAAATTTGTTGAGTATTAATGTGTGCTTAGAATGCTAGTTAAATTAGTTCATTTAATGCTATAAACCAGGGGTTCTTAACATTTTCTGGATAAGCAACATCTTTAGAAATTTGGGGGAAAAAAGTACACACTCTCACCCTAGAAATACATATGTGCATAAAACTTTGCACAAAATGTGCTTTTCTCTACACCAAATCATTTTACCCGATATTCCAAGGGAATTTCCGAAAGCAATGTAATTGGTAAAGAACTCAAGCCTATCACACTGGCTTATTTAAAGTATCCAAAAATTTGGTCAGAAGAAAAGCTACAAAATATATAATATGTCAATTTTCAAATTCTCAAGAAATATCTCAATGGGAAACTCAATAATAACAAAAATAAACTTATTGGGGGGAGAGAATCCAATAACCAACAAAGGTTGTAATACTGCATTCTGGGACATAACTCTGCTGAGTCTTATGCTCATAAATTAATTAGACGGCTTTACTTGCATTTCAATTTTCTTCCCTTTTAAGAAACTCCAGTAAGGGATGGGGTTGTAGCTCAGTGGTAGAGTGCTTGTCTTGCACATGTGAGGCACTGGGTTCAAACCACAGCACCACATAAAAATAAATAAATAAACAAAAATAAAGATATTAAAAAAAAAGTAACTCCAGTAAATTTAGCATGAGAAAGACAAAAGATGCAGAAAAGTGAATTGAAGATTAAAGTGAACTACTTTACACAAACCTGTGCAGCAATAAAAATGTGCCAACCTACAGATTATATAAAACAGAACATATACATAATTCCTTGCACTATTTAGTTGTAAATAGTAGAGTGCATGCAGTCTAAACTTTTATTATTACTTCCCTGTCTCCCATATATCCACGATCCCCCCCAAAAAAAATCCACATACACTGTTAACCAAAAAATAAAAAGACAAAAGAGTAGCTGACCTAAACTTACTTTCAAATCAACATTATTTTAATTAGATTTTAAAGACAGAGACAGGATACTAAAAATAAAAGTGAAAGAGCAAAAGCAGTGGGATAATTCAGGATGATTTTGGTACTGTGGATTTAACTCAGGGGCGTTTAACCACTGAACTACATTCCCAGCCCTTTTTTGCTAAGTTGCTGAGGCTGGCCTGGAACTTGCCATTCTTCTACCTCAGCCGCCCCAATCTATGCTATTACAGTCCTGTGCCAGAGCGTCCAGCTGAAATACTTATTTAGAAGCTGCATTTAAATTCAGAATGCTTAATTTGATTTTCTCAAAGTAAAAAAAAAAAAAAAAAAAAAAAAGACTGGAGAGAAAAAAGGTGTAACTGTCAGAGAGGAGAATAAATTAAAATTCAAGATGGCAGCAAGAGGCAGTGGAGCACAATTGTAAATCCAGCAACTCTGGGGCTGAGGCAGGAGGATAGAAAGTTCAAGGCCACTCTCAGCAACTTAGTGAGACCCTATCTCAAAAATACTTTTTTTTTTTTAAGGGCTGCAGATGTTGCTCAGCAGTAGAGCACCCCTGGGTTTAATCCCCATTACAGGGAAAAAAGAAAAAAAAAAGTTTGCAAAAAAGAGACCATGGAGATGATTAGATAATCAAAGGGAAAAAATATTATTCCCAATACTCTTCTTAGCTAAGGAAAAGAAATTGCGAGAAGGCAGGGAAAAAATCAAAGACAAAGAACACAGCTCCAAAATCTCCAAAACTTGAAAATATTTTTAAAAAAACTTAATAATAAATTAAAAATTTCAATAGCAATTACTTCTGTATCTACAACTTGGCTGACTTCTTTTGTGTGGTGAAATTTAAATAACATAAATTCACCATTTTATTCTTTAAGTGTATAATCAATGGCATTAAGTACATTAACATTATCCAATCATCACCATTATCCATCATCAAAATTTTCTCATCTTCCCAAATTAAGGTATTAAATAACTCCCCATTTCCTTAGCTGACTTCTTAAATGCCTTTTTTCCCTCCCTCTTCTGGCAAGAGAAGTATCTAAAAGGCAGAACAATTTCTTTTAATTCTGAACATCCACAATTTTTTTTAATATTTATTTTTTAGTTGTAGTTGGACACAACACCTTTATTTCACTTATTTTTTTTTTTTATGTGGTGCTGAGGCTCGAACCCAGGGTCTCCCATGTGCAAGGCAAGCGCTCTACTGAGCCACAATCCCAGCTCCACATCCACAATTTTCATACAGTATGTTCCCATGCTCAAAAAATTTCAGACTCTGGAACTGGGGATGTGGCTGAGTGGTAGCGTGCTTATCTAGCACCACATATAAATAAATGTCCATCAACATCTAAATAATTTTTTAAGTTACACTGTTTAAAAAAAAAAAAAAAAACTTCAGGGCTGGGGATGTGGCTCAAGCCTGGCAATCGCGCTCGCGGAGGGGGGGGGGGCGGCGCTGGGTTCGATCCTCAGCACCACATAAAATAAAATAAAGATGTTGTGTCCACTGAAAAATGAAAAATAAATACTAAAAAAAATTCTCTCTCTCTCTAAAAAAAAAACTTTAGACTCAGTTGAACATTATTTCTAGATATATCTAATCTTTCTTTTAATATATATTAATTGAAGGATAACTGCTTGCCAAGCACTATGCTAAACCCGGGATCCAAAGACAGAATTTATGACCAGGCGTAAAAGGGTCAAAGTTAACAGAACAACTATGCTGACAATGAAGAGATTAAGATAGTGAATAATGGTGGAGAGGGACAACTTCAAAAAATGTCTGGGAAAGGCCTTTTCGGGTGACATCTAAAATGAGACTTGGAATTGAAAAATATATTGATATTTGATTCATCCTTCCATCTCCTAAAGCACCCAGCATTTGCTTTTCATTTAGCAGGTACCCGATAATAGCTCTCCTTAATTTGCATTCCTTCCAAACACATAATGTTTGAGGACAGAAAACTACCTGTCAATGAAATCCGTGTGGGGCTGGGAACTACAGATGGTAAAATTGAGTTGAAAATTAGTACAAGACCCTAAACTCTTTAAAGCAGAGTGTACCGAAACCACCTAACTGCTACCTTGAAATGACTTGCATTTCAGTCAACATATAGCAGAAATTGTTCACTCACTCAGCCTAAAGAAATGACACATAAAGCAGACACAAGAGTGGTTAAGACTATTCAAGGCTACATTAGAATGCTCAATTCTCGTTTCTCCAAAGGCGAGAAAACGAGAAGGTCCCCCGTTCTCTTCTGCCAGAGCAACCGAAAAAGCAGGAAAGAATCGTGTTTCTCCTGTGATTCAGTCCCGGGAAGAGGTCAGCCACCAACCCCGGCTAGGGCTCCATCCCTGCTCGATTAGAATAGAGGAGACACTTCAATGGGGCACCCCGAGGAGAAAACTATAGGAAAGCACTTTCTTTCCCCCAATTGTATCCTCAGTCTCACTCCAACAGGATTAAGGGAGGGCCAGGGCGATCCCGGTCCTTTTGCCTAAAGCCGGTCCCTGGCTGATGCCTTCCTCCACCCGCCAGGATATATGGAGACGCTGCGAAGAACCGGCGAGCTGGAGACAGGGACTCATCCCAGGAAAATGAAGTGAAAGATACATGAGAGGATCCCAATTAAAAATTGTAAGTGCGAGGGGAAGGTGGATAGTGGAAGTTCCCAGAGAAGCAAAGAAAGAAGTTGCAGGCCAAGGATCTCCAAGCCGGCTCCAAGCCGGCTCTTACCGTCTGTGGGAGACGCCATCTTCCGACCCATGTCACGTGACGTGGCCAACCGTCGGCGGGAAAGCTAGGATTCATAAGCCACGCCCCCAAAGAGACACCCAATCCCCAACTTGTAGCCGAATCTCATTAACCCCCCATAGGGCAATATTTGCCTATCCCCGCCCTCCCGGTTATAGTCACGCCCCTCGTGGTCGTGTTAAAGTGACAGCAAAATTCTTGGAGGGTCTATTTACTTTCCTTAGTGAGGGGGTGGGACCTGGATCATGCCCGTAGCCAATCGTGACTCCCGATTAGGGGGCGTCTTCCCCGCGTGCTCAGTATAGAGTACCCAAGTCAGGGGCGTCTCCCTATCTTCACCAATAGAATTGGCTGAGGTGGGAGGAGGCGAGAGCCATTCTCTTTCTGACCAATCATATTCCCACAGGACTGGAAGTGAGAGGTGGAGTCAGGTGTTCCGGTGAGTGATTGGCTGGAGGAAGCGGTCTTGTCTTCCAATGAAGAGGTTTGGCAGGCTGGAGGGCGAGGCCTGGCCGCGCTACTGCCTGGTAGGCAAAGGCCGCAGAGGCTGTGGAAGCGGAGGAGAGACAGCTCAGAGCCATGGCGGCGGTGGTGGCGGCGGCGACAGTGCGGTCCCGGATCCTGCAGGCGAGTGAGGGTGGCACCGAGGGACCACGAAGCTAGGAATGGATCCTTTCCACCCACTCTCTGAGCAATGCTCCGGCGGGACAGACTTTTGGCCCAGCCCCTTCTTGGCGGACCCCACTGTGCAGCCCTGTCCCACTCTCTCACTTCGTATTTTCCCTCACCCTGGAATGAGCCCTGAATTATCACCCCTGGCCCTCCACCCTTTCCTCCTGAGCCTCCTTTTCTGGCTCTAGCCCACTGTCCTCCAGTCTTACTGTGTCCCTGCTGTCACTCGCTTGCTCTTACCTCTCAGTCCGCCCACAGTTTTCCTTTTCACCTCTGCACCAGCCACCTCTCTCCCTAGAAATGCCCTTTTCTGGTCACCTCACTTAGAGCTCTTTCCCTGCCAGGAACGTCCAAATTGCTCCTTTCTCTCGACTTCTCTGTCCATAATCTAAGGTAAGGGGGGAGGGAGTACGCGAGGGGTCAGAAAATGAACTTTGAATCTCCTAGAAATGTACGCTGAGTTTTCACCCAAGGCAGCCATTTGCTAACAGTTCTCCCCAACTGTTATAACTCTGTATTTTCCACAAGCTCTGTACTTTCTTGCCAAGACTTTTAGTTAAACTGTTTCTTGCGAAGTTACGGTTTCTTGTTGGAGGTAAAGGGCGCATTGTTATGTTACTATGTTCCACATATATTCAAACGATTAAACATTTCCAGAACGAGAGCAAGCAGGACAAGAAGTTCAAAGTTTTTGCCACAAAGTCAGCTTCTTCAACACATTCTCAACTCTGCCCGTGGGGGTCGGGTGGTCTCTGGAGCCAGCTTAAAGAGAGGTTATAAAGTTAAAGAAGCTGCAGGTCTGAAGCCTGTGATCCCCAGCTTTGTTCATAGCCTCTCCCCTGTTCTAAGCCTAGAAAGGACTTAAAATATGAGGCAAGTGTTGCTTCAGGGAAGACTTTCAAACCTACAAGGAACAACATTGCCTTCCTATTAATTACATCCAACCTGGTAACAACTTCTATGTTGTTTTACTTTTAGGTAATATTAGTATTAGGTTTTGGTGAGTTCTATTGCAGAAACATATTCATTTTCAAAATTCTTAGCAGAGCCAGCAAAGGTTGATGTTTGAGAATGGGCTAAAGGGGTTGGTCTGGCTTCACTCATATTTCTTGCCGTGATTCTAGTTCTATTCTCTTTTTTAATAGCAAGGAAACTATATTTCCCATTACCACCTTCTAGAAATCTTATACTGAAATTGGCTTTTTCCTTCAATTCTACTCTCATCAAAATGAATCACTGAAAAAAAGTGAATCATTGAGAATATTCAGAAGGTATTTTGTCCTTTGCTTCAAGGAGGAAAACCTCTTCCTGTGCACTTTATTTAAAAATATTAGACACTATTTTTTTACTCATTGGAAGAAATCTATGAACTAACCTCCAAGAGACCAGAAATAATAACCCTTACCAACTAGAAGTTACTGTAACATGAAAATTTGATAAAGTGTAGTCTAAATCTGATGAGAGTGGTACTCATCTGTAGTCCCAGTTACTAAGGAGGTTGAGGCAGAAGCATCATAAGTTCAAAGCCAGGCTGGGCAACTTAGACACTATCTCAAAATAAAAATAAAGCACTCCTGCACTTGCGTGAGGCCATGGCTTCCATCCCCAGGACCACACACAAAAAAAGTAGTCTAAATCCAGGAATATAAAGACGACTATCAAAAGGATTTGTAGATGTGAGGGTTCATGTTTTTAGTTATTTTGTGTATTTAGCTTATCTTCTCTGTTATCAAGGCTAGTAAAACTGAATCAAGAACATTTTTCTCTTTCTTATAATATTCTCACTCCGATTCAGAAAACCAATCTTAAAGACTCAGTGACTTGCCTCAGTAATGTTGTACAAAAAGCACAAGCTTCACAATCACATTTGGCTTCTATCCCAGCTCCACAAGTTTCCAGCTTTAAGAATATTTATGAAGATTAGAATTAATAAACATAACTAAGTAAATTATCTGACATTTAATGTTACCCAGTTAATAACTGATAGAGCTGGGAATTCAGAATTTAAATATTGCATCTTTTTCCGTGTGGATACTTTCCCAGACTTTCAGTAAAAGACTCACTGAAATGTCCTCTAATGTAATGTGATGATAAGTGATAAACAATAGGCATGCTCAAGGTATTGCAGGGACATAAGGGAAAAGCCCCAAACTCAACCTGTACAATTCAGAGAAAGTTTCCAAAAGGGTTTTACTCTGAGTAAAATGTTGCAAAACTAATAGGTCATTAGCCAAGAGGAAAAGAGAGTTCCTTATAAAAAAAATAGCAGGTAGAAAATGTGCATATAGACAGTAGAAGTTTGGTGTGACTTGTCATAGGATAATTTCTTCAGCAGTGGTGCTAATGAATGTTTCTTAGGAAATGAAGCAAAGATATCAGATCTAATACAACCATTGTAATTCTGCACCATGTACAACCAGAAGAATGAGAAGTTATATTTCACTAAAAAATACAAAAACATAGCCAGGTGCAGTGGTGCATGCCTGTAATCCCAGCTGCTTGGGAAGGATCTTGAGCTCAAATGGAGAGGCAACTCAGGGAGACCCTGTCTCTAAATAAAATACAAAATAGGGCTGGGGATGTGGTTCAGTGGTCAAGTGCCCCTGAGTTCAATCCTCAGTACCAAAAAAAAAAAAAAAAAAACCAGCCAGGCATGTTGGTACACACCTGTAATCCCAGTGGTGGCTCTGGAGGCTGAGATAAGAGGACCAAAAGTTCAAGACCAACCAACCTCAGCAAATTAGTGAAGCCTTAAACAACTGAGTGAAACCCTGTCTCAAAATAAAAAATAAAAAGAGCTGGAGATATAGCTCAATTGTAAATTGTTCCCAGTAATGGTGCATACCTGTAATCCCAGCTACTTAAGAGGCTGAGTCAGGAAGATCATGAGTTCAAAGCCACCCTGGGAAATTTATCCAGATACTGTCTCAAAATAAAAAAAATAAAATAAGAAGGGCTGGGGATGTAGCTAGGTTGGAGAACTCCCCTGAGTTTGATTCCCCAGTGCCACAGAAACAACAATAATATAAATTTTATTTTGAGACATCTTCTTACTAAGTTGCCCAAGCTGGTCTTGAACTTGCTATCCTCCTGCCTCAGCCTCCTAAGTAGCTAAGTATATACTACAAAGCCTGGCTCATTAGATTATTTTATGGCCATTTTATTTCAATAAGGCTGTTTTTAAAATGCCACAGGCACCTTATGGGAAGAAATATGTCCTATCATTAATATTAATGAGTACTTATTGTATTCCAGGAACCATGCTATGGGCTGAGGGCACAATGGTCAGTTGATCTAAGGGGAGAGGAACTTAATAACTAAACAAGCTTGTTTAGTATCCATAAAGCAAACGGAGAAACTCCACAATCAGGTACTTAGCCCAGACCTGACGTTGAGGATTCCTAGACAAATGTTAACCAAGTAGAAACCTAAAATAGTAAGAGTGAACCAAGCAAAAGGAATGAAACAGAGCCAGCCAAGAGGGATTAGCATGTGCAAGGGCAAGAGTGCAAAACATACTCAGAATAACTGGAACAGAGAAAGTAAGGAGGAAAGAAGCAAGCTGAGAGACCTAGAGAAACAAAGATACTATGTAGAGTCTTCCAAGCAATATCAAGGAGATGAGTCTTTATCCCAAGAGCAGTGGAAAGCCATTTGGAGGGTTTGTTTAAATCAATTTCCACAACATATATGTGTGTGTGTATGTATATGTGTATATGTATGTATGTGTGTGTGTATATATACATATATATGTATACTTTTTTAGAATAACATATGTTATTCTAAAAAATAACATATATACACATAATGTATATGTATATATGTGTATGTATACATATATATGTATACTTTTTTTAGAATTACAGTTTAAGCTGACATTGTTGTAACTGACCCTCCCTCCTCCATTCACTGATTTTGCCCTATCATATATTACTGATAGGACATATTTCTTCCCATAAGGTGCCTGTGGCATTTTTTTAGAGTATTTTTTTAAGAGAGAGTGAGAGAGGGAGAGAGAATTTTAATATTTATTATTTATTGGCAGACACAACATCTTTGTTTGTATGTGGTGCTGAGAATCGAACCTGGGCTGCACGCATGCCAGGCGAGCGCGCTACTATTGAGCCACATCCCCAGCCCACCTGTGGCATTTTAAAAACAGCCTTATTGAGATAAAATTGGCATAAAATAATCTGTGCATATTTAAAGTGTACAATTTATGCCGGGCATGGTGGTGCATGCCGTAGTCCCAGTGACTCAGAGGCAGAGGCAGGGGGATTGAGAGTTCAAGACCAGCCTCAGCAACTTAGCAAGGACCTAAGCAACTTAATGAGACTGACTCAAAATTTAAAAAAATTAAAAGGGCTTGGGGGGACTGGGGTTTTGGCTCATCGGTAGAGCACTCGCCTTACACTTGTGAGACCCTGGGTTCGATCCTCAGCACCACATAAAAATAAATAAACAAAATAAAGACATTGTGCCCAGGTATAACTAAAAAAAAAATTTTTTTTAAAAGGACTGGGGATGTGGTTCAGTGGTAAAGTGCCTCTGGATTCAATCCCCAGTAATCAATCAATAAATAAGTAAATTGTACAATTTATAAGATTTAATATTTTTATAAACCTGTGAAGTCATCATCACAATTAAGATAATGAGAGCCAGGTGTGGTGACATAGACCTGTAATCCCAGCAACTTGGGAGCCTGAAACAAGAAGATCAAAAGTTCCAGATCAGCCTCAGCAACTTATAAAACTCTGTCTAAAAACAAAAAATAAAAAGAGCTGAGGATGTAGCCCAGAGGTAAAAAGCCGTGGGTTCAGTCTACAGTACCAAAACAAAAATGACAGTCAAAATAATGAACATATTTCCATCACCTAAAACCAGTTTTCCTTAGTCCCCTTTGCCACCTTTCCCATCATTCCCTAGTAACTACTAGTCTGCTTTCTCATACAATACTACACTAAACTCATACTATAGTTTGCACTTTGTAGTTTTTTTTACATAAATGAAACCATCCATTATATACTCTTTTTATGTCTGAATTTTTTCACTTGCCATAATTATTATAATTACCCATGTTGCATGTGTCAATATTTTATTCCTTTTTATTTTTGAGTAGTAGTATGGATATAGACATTAGTTTTATTGTTCACCTATCCAGTGGTGGACATCTAGGTCATTTCCAAGTTTTGGCATGTTGCAAACAACACTGCTATGAACATTTGTATCCAAGTATTTGTATGAGCGATTATACTTACATTTTATTATGTACTGTTTAATCTATATCTACATTGATTATACAAGATATAGCTTATTACATAAATATTGATTGTACATTGTTTTCAACACCTGTTGTATTATATACCATGCTAAATATTTTCTTTCTGTTAGATTTATGATGACATTTTCTAGACCCCAAACTATTAAAATATGATATAATAACAAAAAAATTTAATCAACCCAGTTTTGGAAATTTGGGACATGATTATTATGACATTTTTCTTTGAAAGTATGGGGCTGGGGCTGGGGCTCAGTGGTAGAGTGCTTGCCTTGCATGTGTGAGGCTCAATTCTCAGTACCATAAAAAATAAATAAAGGTATTTTTGTCCATCCACAACTAAAAATGCATATATATATATATATATATATATTTTTTTTTTTAAGGTATATGGTCCTTGAAAGCAAATACCAAGTTCTTTTTCATATTCACAGTAGCTAGTATTCTAATGCAGTAGCTAAAGTTTTAATAATTTTCTTTTCTCATTTATCAAATTATTATTTTATCACACAGGTTTCTTCCAAGGTACACTCCACCTGGTATCCAACATCCTCCTTCTCTTCTTCAGTGGTAAGTATATTTATCATTGAAAGTTGACTTCCAAGAAGGAATCCAATATGGTGTGGGGATATTCTTTTTTTTTAATATTTTTAGTTGTAGTAGGACACACAATACCTTTATTTTATTTATTTATTTTAATGTGGTGCTGAGAATCGAACCCAGTGTCTCATACATGCTAGGCAAGCGCTCTACCAATGAGCCACAACCCCAGCCCAGGGGGTATTCCTTTTTATCTTTACATAATTGTGATCAGAGTATATGTGAAATTTTTTTATCTTGGTTTTCTTACCTACTATTATGACTATGATTTTGTGAGCGGTTTCATTATTGCAAGATAGACTTTATAGTTATGTGGGGTTTTTTCAGAGCTGGAGATCAAACCCAGGGACATGTACATGCTAGGAAAATCCTCTATCACTGAGCTACATTCCCAGCCCTATGATTATGGTTTTTAATGGCTGTGGATTATTCCATCAAGTTGATGTAGCTTGAATTAACTAGTAATTTCTCCATGTAACATTTAGATTGTTTCTATTTTTCAATATTATAAAACATTTTAAAAATAGTTTTTTCCTTCTTTTGGATTATTTCTCTTTGAATGTTACTTACTATGCCAAAAGGTACAAACATTTCTCTGACTTCTAGAAGTTTAGACTTTGGCAGGGGCACAAGGTCTGACTAAGTTGCCCAAACTGGTCCTGAACTTGTGAGCTTCCCACCTCAGGCTCCTGCGTACCTGTGACTACAGGTATGTGCCACCACTCTTGTCTTCTTCTAAAGGTTTTGTTGAATCTGCCAAATAGTTGTCTTCCTCTTGTTTTTACAGAACATCTATCTTCTGTCACTTCTGTATTTCAAATCTATTAAACAAAGACTGCTACGCAAAATCCTCTCCCTTTAGAAGTATGTACATACTGTAGCCCAGTAGTCCTTCACCATTTTTGGTTCACAGATCCTGTTATGGTTTAATTGTAGTTTGTCTCCTCTAAAATTCATGTTAAGATTTTTTTTTTAGGGGCTGGGGATGTGGCTCAAGCGGTAGCGCGCTCGCCTGGCATGCGTGCGGCCCGGGTTCGATCCTCAGCACCACATATAAACAAAGATGTTGTGTCCGCCGAAAACTAAAAAATAAATGTTAAAAATTCTTTCTCTCTCTCTCTCTTTCTCTCTCTCTCTTAAAAAAAGATTTTTTTATTTGTTCTCATTAGTTATACATGACAGTAGAATGCATTTTGATACACTGTACACAAATGGAGCATAACTACTTATTCTTCTGGCTGAATGTTAAAATTTGATTGCCATTGTGTTGGGTGTTGGGGAGGTGGTTAGGTCATGAAGAAGAATGAATGACTTTCTCACCCACTTGCCCTTCCCAATTTTCTGCTTTATTGTGAAGTCTTTGCCAGGTACAGCTGCTTTATTTGGGACTTCTAGCCTCCACAACTTCGTTCCTTTGTAAATTACCCATTCTCAGGTATTCTGTATGACAACAGAAAAAAAAAAAAGTAGACCTCTGAAAATTTAGTGAAAGTGATCTCAGTGGGGGGAAAAAAAAACACGTAGGGCTGAGGCTGTAGCTCAGTGGCAGTGCACTTGCCTAGCACGTGTGAGACACTGGGTTCGATCCTTAGCACTGCATAAACATAAACAATAAAGTCATGCTGTCCATCTACAACTACAAAACTTTTTCTTTAAATATTTATTTTTTAGGTGTAGATGGACACAACACAATGCCTTTATTTTTATGTGGTGCTGAGGATCGAACCTGGGCCCGCCCGTGCTAGGCGAGTGCTCTACCGCTGAGCCACAATCCCAGCCCTACAAAAAGTTTTTTTTTTTTAAATACATGTAGATAGAACAATTTAAAATTTTTTATCATAAAGGTAAAATGTGTATGTAATAATGTGACAGAAAGTCAGTGGGGCCAGTAAGTCATAATTGGCTGATGCACACAGTGGCTGCTTTTTTTTAACCAAGTTTCCAAGTGATGTATTTGCTCATGAAGCTCACTGGGTGAATAGCAAAGAGTTTCTTATGCTCAGAGTCAGAACAGTGTTGAGAGGTGCTGCTGCATGTTAATAGTTCTATAGACAAGAACATTGTGTATCTTTTTCCTAGGGGTAACAGTCCTAAAGACAAGAAGATTCACTTATCAACCTGAACTACTCCTGCTTTATGAAAGGGAAAGGGAGAAACAAAGCAATTAATTAATATAAAGTTTGTGTGTTTTTTTTTAATCCCCAGCCAACTGTAAAACTCTTCATTGATGGCAAATTTGTTGAATCCAAAAGTGATAAATGGATTGACATCCACAACCCAGTAAGCAAAACTGGTTTGGGACTTATTGACTGGTCTAGAATTCTGGGAACATAGTGGGAAGGTGGGGCCCTGGGGACCTGAGTGTCTATCATGAAGTACATAGTGCCGCCTCTGTGACTAGATGGAACATGGAGAAAGTAGGGCATTGGCAAAGTATGATGGCTTTTTTTTTTCCCATCAGGCCACTAATGAGGTTATTGGTCGGGTCCCTCAGTCCACCAAGGCTGAAATGGATGCAGCCGTTGCTTCCTGCAAGCGTGCTTTCCCTGCATGGGCAGACACATCAGTGTTGAGCCGGCAGCAGGTCCTGCTCCGCTATCAACAACTTATTAAAGAAAACTTGGTAAGAAACCTAAATGGGGGCTGGGTCTGTGGCTCAGTGGTAGCACACTTGCCTTGCATGTATGAGGCACTGGGTTCGATTCTCAGCACCATGTATAAATAAAAAAATAAAGATCTATCAACATCTAAGAGAAAAATATTTAAAAAAAAAAAGAAACCTAAATGGTATAATTTTCTACACTAGTGCCTAGTGGGGCTGATCACTCCTCCAGTGACCTTTTCAGCTGCTCTCCCTAACTCTGCAACACAGAGACATTGATCATGGCTGTCTCCCTCGTTCTGCTTCTCCGTCTGTTTTGTTCTGTCTTGGCTACCTTAGAATTAAAAGGAGGAACATGGGGACTAAGGTTCTAGCTTAATGGTAGAGTGTGTGCTTAGCATGCACAAGACCCTGGGTGTGATCCCCAGAACTGCAAAAGTAAACAAAAGGAGGAATATCCTTGTATGAGTTTCTATTTGTGTTTTTCTCTCTAGAAAGAAATTGCCAAGTTAATCACATTGGAACAAGGGAAGACCCTAGCTGATGCTGAAGGAGATGTATTCCGAGGCCTTCGTAAGCTGGGAGCCCTTGTGGGACTTTAGGAAAAGGAAGATGGGATTCTGTCATTGGCCTGATCACAGCCTCAGGGCTGAACAGAACAAGATAAAGCTAAGCAATGCTCAGTGTGGGGAGCTAGTGGCCTAACTACTTCTTCTCTGTTCCAGAGGTGGTCGAGCATGCCTGTAGTGTGACATCCCTCATGCTGGGAGAAACTATGCCATCCATCACCAAAGACATGGACCTTTATTCCTATCGTCTGCCCCTGGGAGTGTGTGCAGGCATTGCTCCATTTAATTTTCCTGCCATGATCCCCCTTTGGATGTTTCCCATGGCCATGGTTTGTGGGAATACTTTCCTAATGAAACCATCAGAGCGAGTCCCTGGAGCAACTATGCTTCTTGCTAAGCTGCTTCAGGATTCTGGTGCCCCTGATGGAACACTGAACATCATCCATGGACAACATGAAGGTAGCTTCCCTAATGTATGTGACTACTTAATATGGGCATCAACAAACTAAGGTGTTGAGTGTCAACTGAGTGTTTTAGGATGAGAAAACTAGGAAGGAAGGGACTCACTAATAGTAATCTCCATGTTTGAAGGTAATGTTTGTGGACTGTTTGCCATCTGTGCTAAGGTAACTAACTGGGGAGCAGCAGAGCTTCTTGCCCTTCACTGTGCAGTGGGCCTCCAACAACATGGGTTAGGACCAGACAGAGAAAGTTTTGTTTTGTTTTGTTTTTTATTTATTTATTTATTTATATGTGGTGCTGAGGATCAAACCCAGGGCCTTGCACATGCTAGACAAGCACTCTACCACTGAGTCACAACCCCAGCCCCTAGACAAAGTTTATTAACTCATTTAATCTTCATAACAACCCTTTGAGGCAGTATTATTTTTCCATTTTACAGATGAGAAATTGAGGCAGAGTGAAATTAAGTAATTTGCCCAAAGTTAACACTGCTACAAATTATAAATGTTAGCGTATGTATCCTAAGGCTGACTCTGCTTCTTGCTTTTAAATACTAATGCTATATCACCTCTTGTGTGATAGCACAATAGTTTCTGAGAGTCTCTATATATAGTAGCAGTTGAGGACATATCATATTCTTATTGTTTTTAGTTCTGGGGATTGAACACAGGAGTGCTTTACCACTAAGCTATAACCCCAGCCCTTTTTATTTTTGATTTTGAAATAGGATCTTACTGAGTTGCTCAGGGATTTACTAAATTGCTGAAGATGACTTCAGACTTGGGGTCCTCCTGCCTTAGCCTCCTGAGTCACTGGGATGATAGGCATGCACCATCGTACCCAGTTGAGGACATATCACATTTTTTAAAATATATATATATATTTTAGTTGTAGATGGACACAATTCCTTTATTTTATTTATTTTTATGTGGTGGTGAGGATTGAACTAAGTGCCTCACACATGCAAAGATCAGTGCTCTACCACTGAGCCACAACCCCATCCCCCATTATCACATATTTAAAGAAAAAAAAATGGAAGTGTCTAGTTGTAAAAGGCTGTTGTTTTAGAGAAAAATAGGAATTATAGCCTTCAAATTAGACTAGACACAAGAATTCTGGAATAAATGAAAAAAAATGCTGAAAGGGTAGAGGCTAAATAGAATTTGTAAAGAATTCAAGTGACATATATGATTACACAACCTGTGAAACTCTGCATCAGGTACAACCAGAAGAATGAGAAGTTATACTCCATTTACGATATGTCAAAATGCATACCACTGTCATGTATAACTAATTAGAACAAATAAAAAATAAATAAAAGAATTTAAGGGAACAAAAGAGAACTTCACAATGGCAATTGAGTGTTGAAAAAACAATTATGAGAATGTCTAATCAGTGGGTAAAGGGGAGATTTACCACGTTGAGAAGCCTATGGCCCTTGTTCTTTTTGGTGACCATTTTTTTCTTCTCCAAGCTGTAAATTTTATTTGTGATCATCCGGACATCAAAGCAATCAGCTTTGTGGGATCCAACCAGGCAGGAGAGTATATCTTTGAGAGAGGATCAAGACATGGCAAGAGGGTTCAAGCCAACATGGTGACTTTTTATTCTTTTTTTCTCCTGAACTTTGTTATATGTTTATAAATTATCTAAGAACAGCACTTCAACAGCAAGACCACTCTTCCCACTAATGCCAGTGTTTCTTAATTACCATTTAATCCTGAATGTCTTCTTAACCGTGAACCTTGTGAAGAGTATTGATCATGCTGACCACCTTTATCATATACAACTAATTTTGATGACAAGGGACATATTTCTTCCTAAGAATGTTATTCAGATTCTTTAGGCTTTCAGCAGTAACAGCCTGATTCTGGTTCTGGCTCTATTTCTTCCTTTCTTTATACCATGCTTCTAGCCCTTAATCCTTCCTTCTTTTAAGGTACATACTAACTAGTAGTTCAAGGCACCAAAAAGAACCAAATATCCCCATATGATACGTGACATGCTTTAATTTTTACTTTACTCTTACTAGTTCTTTGCCAAATGCTTAGCAACTCTTTAATACCAAATATAAAGTACTATTGCATCTTGCCCCACCCTTCCTTCAACTAACATGAAAAAAAGATAATTGCCACTTATTTTTCATGGCTAAATGTTTTGTCCAATTTGACTTAAGCCCCTCCTAGTTCACTCCATATTTATTGCATGTATTCTGTGTTCAACATTATCTATAATAGGATTAAATTAAGTAGTAGACATGGTATATACCCATACACTCAACTATAGTTGTATCTAGAGACGTGAAAATGATTATATGTCAGTCTGCATAGAAGATATATATGTAGTTATATGTATAGAAGTCTAGAAGCAAGCCAATTTGAGGAACCTCTTTTTATTTTTTTATTTTATTTTTATTTTTTTTAAAGAGAGGGTGAGAGAGGAGAGAGAGAGAGAGAGAGAGAGAGAATTTTTAACATTTTTATTTTTTAGTTCTTGGCAGACACAACATCTTTGTTKGTATGTGGTGCTGAGGATCGAACCCAGGCCGCACGCATGCCAGGCTAGCGCGCTACCACTTGAGCCACGTCCCCAGCCCCGAGAATTTTTTAATATTTATTTTTTAGTTTTCGGTGGACACAACATCTTTATTTTGTTTTTATGTGGTGCTGAGGATCGAACCCAGGCCGCACGCATGCCAGGCTAGCGCGCTACCACTTGAGCCACGTCCCCAGCCCCGAGAATTTTTTAATATTTATTTTTTAGTTTTCGGTGGACACAACATCTTTATTTTATTTTTATGTGGTGCTGAGGATTGAACCCAGCACCCTGTGCATGCCAGGCGAGCGTGCTATCGCTTGAGCCACATCCCCAGCCCGAGGTCTGAATTTGACCCTTAGCTGTTTACTGCATTTTTAATTATTTTTGGTACAGGAAATTAAGTTTAGCCTGGCTGATTACTGGCATTATTATTACTGGCAGCTCTTTGTTTACATTACTCTTAATTTAACTGGAAACCTCAGCAGACAACAAATTGCTTCCTACCTAAGTTAGAAAACAACATTTTCCTTGGTTCCTGGTTGCAGTTTTTAACCTGTTGGTTTGAGTGTGATTGGGGCTTTTTTGCCTTGGTAATGGTTTTAAGCTAAATATATAGCAGCTTATCAACTGGAAATTGAGGGGAAAAAATGTGGAGACCTGCTTGATGTTGCTAAAATTTAAGCAGTATTAAAAATAACCTCTTTGTCCTCAAAGCAACAAAGAATGAATTCTCTAATCCTTCCCTTAAATTCTCATTCTTAGCTTAATTGTATTTGACTAAGGAATATTGATGCACAATCTGTGTTTCTTTAGGGAGCCAAAAACCATGGGGTAGTCATGCCAGATGCCAACAAGGAAAATACCCTGAACCAGCTGGTTGGGGCAGCATTTGGAGCTGCTGGTCAGCGCTGCATGGCTCTTTCAACAGCAATCCTTGTGGGAGAGGCTAAGAAGTGGCTTCCAGAGCTGGTGGAGCGTGCCAAAAAGCTGAGGGTCAATGCAGGTAATCACCTATCTGCTGCCCAGCAACTTTAGATTTTGTATCTTTGACACTATATCTTAGCATTGGCCTTGACAAAGGGAAACAGTCTTCTAGTCTTACCATTACCTCTATTTATATGTATTTGTCATTCAGATTCATACATTACTAGCAATAATAATTTATGTTAATGAAGTCCTTAGATACTTATGTGTTGTTTTACAGGAGACCAGCCTGGAGCTGATCTTGGCCCTCTGATCACTCCCCAGGCCAAAGAGCGAGTCTGTAATCTGATTGATAGTGGAACAAAGGAGGGAGCTTCCATCCTTCTGGATGGGCGAAAAATTAAAGTGAAAGGTTATGAAAATGGTAACTTTGTTGGACCAACCATCATCTCAAATGTCAAGGTGAACAACTCAATCATTTCACAAATATGAAAGCTGAAGGAATCTTAGAGGCTATGGAAGCTTTCCTTCTGGTTTATAAATGAAGACATTTAATGATTAAGACCTCAAGTCTGGCCAGGATTGTTCACTTATTTTAATTTGGGGTCTCCTCTCCTGAGCCCCATCCAGGCCACTTTCCATGAAGAGCTAGATATTTTCTGCTTTTCAGAAATATATAATCTCTCTCACAATTACTCAATTCTGACATGTAACGGGAAATCAGCATTATGTGGCTGTATTCTAATAAAACTCTATTTATGGACATACATTTGAATTTTGTGTCATTTTACATGTCATGAAGTAGTCTTTTGATTTTTTTTCAACCATTTAAAAATGTAGAGCTGGGCACGGTAGTGTTTACCTGTAATCCCAGCAGCTCAGGAAGATTGTGAGTTTAGAGCCAGCCTCAGCAACGGTGAGGTACTAAGCAACTCAGTGAGACCCTGTCTCTAAATAAAATACAAAATAGGGCTGAGGATGTGACTCCATGGTTGAGTGCCCCTGAGTTCAATCCCCAATTCAAAAAAAAAAGTAGAAACCATTCTTAGCTTATGACCTATACAAAAATAGTATCTATATTTGGCCCATAGGTAGTTGTTTGTCAACTCTTGTCTTATACTATACTGGTTCCTTATTTAGTGTAACTTTTCTCTTCCTTCTTGCAACCTACCTCATAGCTATTACAATGTCTCAATCTCTATATCTACTACTCAATTGGGTATAACTACTCTGGGCCCAAAATTTAGCTATATCTTCACGAGAAAGTCAAAAAGAAGTGGTCTGTCAATTTTTATTTATCAAAACTCTGAAAGTCTCTCAGTTGACATTCATGACTAAAGTGAAGTTAGGAACCTTTTTTGAAATTCACATATTGTCATTACAATCCTAAATAACCAAGGATTGAATGTAAGTGTAGTAGAAACTATGAAGTCTCTTACCACAGAATGATAGAAGAAAAATCCACTTATCAACAATAAACACAGCTGATTAGGTGTAGTGGTGAAGGTTGTTTTAGGTGTTTATGTATAACACAATATCAAAATATAAATGTACATAGTTAAATTTTGGAGGTAAAGGATAAGTGGGAATGGAGTGTTTTTGTTTCAGAGAACTTAGCACAGGCTTTCTGTAAACAAAATAATCTGATATTTTATATATATTTGATTTATAAAAAAATTTTCATGTAACTGTTTGGTAACATAACAATTGTATGAAACAAGTTGTACAGCTATTACAAAGGAAGCTAGTGATGAGTTGTGGGAACTAAAAGTACAGAGTGTGGTTATAATTAATAGGAATTTCAGGTTGTCTATATGTTGATAGTTTGGAAGATGGAACAGAGTTTTTAATAAGTAATTTAAAAATGGAAAGAGACTGCTAACATGAAAGAAGTCTACATAAACTAGTGGGTAGTAAGTAAAATTACCAGGTTGAGTATAAAATACATAGAATCCAAAGAGCTCACTTCTTTTCTGGATTGATCATTCCTGACAGCCAAATATGACCTGTTACAAAGAAGAGATTTTTGGTCCAGTTCTTGTGGTTCTGGAAACAGAAACATTAGATGAAGCCATCAAAATCGTAAACGACAACCCTTATGGAAATGGAACTGCCATCTTCACCACCAATGGAGCCACTGCTCGGAAATATTCCCACCTGGTCGATGTTGGACAGGTTTGTAGATTCTCACAGCTCTTAGGGATTCCTAAGAGGAGACAGTAGACAGTTATCAGTCATTGCAGCTTCTATAAAGGTTGTCCCTTTAATCTTCCACAATGCTCCATTTCTTCCTCAGTAATAAAAGTTCATAGAGTGAAGAATGGGATGGAAGCTAGCAATTTAAAATGGTCTCTCAAAAAAATAAGTACCACCCACTCCCCCCCCAAAAAAAACCCATAAAATATAAATTGATTTTTTAAAAAAGAAAAATAAATCCATCTTTGTTTTTATGCTTCTAAATAGAGAGTCTATAGTTTGAGTTCTTTGCTTAGTATTTGATGTAGATTTGTTCTGCTTTTAGGTGGGAGTGAATGTCCCTATTCCAGTGCCTTTGCCAATGTTCTCATTCACTGGTTCTCGATCATCTTTCAGGGGAGACACCAATTTCTATGGCAAACAGGTAACTTTTGAGTCAAATTTTTTTCCTTTAAGAAATTTTCTTAAACATATTCAGAAACAAGGATTCTGCAGAGAAGGACATGCCAGCAGCTTCTGGGCGGTCACATGTTGTTCTGAAGTATTTCTCAGATAGTCCCCTAGAAAAGAATTAATAAGGGGAGGGAGGGAAAGAGTAGAAGTTCAATGGATTAGACAAAGTGAAATGAAGGGAAAGGAGGTGGGATAGGAATGGGAAAGAGTGGAATGAATCTGACATAACATTCCTATGTACATATATTAACACACCACAGTGAATTTCACCATCGTGTGTACATCCATAAGACTGGGATCCTAATTAGAATATATTCCAAGCTTGTGTAAATATATCAAAATGGTTTATACTGTCATGTATAACTAAAAATAATAAAAAAAATTTAAAAAGTTAATGAAACGTTAACAAAATAGCTTATTCTTGAACAACTTAAGGCAAAAAAGTTGGGGGAAAACAGCATGAGGAAGTCTAGGCCTTTGTTTTGGTGGGTTTTGTTTTGTCTTGTTTGGTTTATTTTTGTTTTTGTAGTACTAGGGATTGAACCCAGAGGTGCTTTACCACTGAACTATATCCCCAGCCTATTTTTTTGAGACAGGATCTCATTAAGTTGCCCTGGCCTTGAACTTGCAATCCTCCTTGCCTCGGCCTCCTGAGTAGCTGGGATTACAGGCATTCACAACCATGCCTGGCAAGTCCAGGCCTTTGTATTTGCCATTTTCTCTGCTATTCTTCTAGAAATAAATCACCTCTAATCTTCATCATCCCCTTCTTTGATACTAGGTAGTATGCCTCATGTGTTCCCATTGCACATATTTTTCCTGTAATAATTGTTCATGTATCAAAAAATTTATTCAGGGCTGGGGTATAGCTCAGTGGTAGAGTATTTACCTAGCATGCACAAAGACCTGGGTTCAACATCCAGCACCAAACACACACACACAAAAAAATACCTTCTTTGTATCAAACACTTTTCGATGTGCAATGGGAACACATGAGGCATACTACCTAGCATCAAAGAAAGGGATAATGGTGATTAGAGGTGATTTCTTTTTGGAAGCCAGGCATGGTGGTACACACCTGTAATCCCAGTGATTTATGAGGCTGAGGTAGGAGGATTGCAAGTTCAAGGACAGGGCAACTTAATGAGACCCTGTCTAATAATTTAAAATTTAAAATTAATTAAACATTATCCAATAGATATGATAGTTATGGCTATATGCTTAAGATACGACTAACTAGTTAAGAAAGTATCACCTTACATAAGTGTCTATAGACACTCCTCAACTTATGATGATAGAATTACATCCCAATAAACCCATCATAAGTTAAAAATATCATACAACTAACCTACTGAACATCATAGTTAAAACAACAGAATATTCAACCCTCATGGACTTGGGGCTGATAATTCATATTGCTTATTGCAGCCCAAAAAGAGATCAAAATTTGAAGCACAATTTCTATTGAAAACACCTTGCTTTTGCATCATCTTAATCTGGAAAAATAGTAAATCATAGACCATCTGTAGTTTGATACTAGTAACAAGCATTTCTTTTAAGGGAAGCGGTAAAACTATTTAAAATAGTTTTTATCAATCTGGGATGGTAGCCCAGTGGTAGATTGCTTCCCTCACACATGTGAGGCACTGGGTAGGATCCTCAGCACCACATAAAAATAAAATATACTGTGTCCATCTATAACCAAAAATATTTTAAAAAAACAGTTTCTTTCCTCCCACAAACTGCCATCTTGGTTTAATTACTATAAATACGCTGGGGTAAGATAGGCTTCTTTGGAGGAAAAAAATGAATACATGGTTGAATTCTTAAATCTTTATGTTATTAAATGCTACTTGGCATTTTGGAAAGAAGATATGAAAGTATTACCTTACATAATAAAATATGAAAGTCAAACTTTGCATGGTAGCACATGTCTGTAGTCCCAGCTACTTGGGAATCTGAGGCAAGAGGCTCACTTAAGCCCAGTCTCAGCAACAGAGCAAGACCTTGTCTCAAAAACAAAAAGGAAATTGTAAAAATTAGTTGTATGTTTGCTGGGTGTGATGGTACATACCTGTAGTTCCAGCAACTCAGAAAGCTGAGGTAGGAGGATCACAAATTCAAAGCCAGCTTTTGCAACTTAGCAAGGACCTAAGTAACTTAGCACGGCCCTGTCTCCAAATTTACAAATAAAGAGGGCTGGGGATATTGTTCAGTGGTTAAGCTCCCCTGGGTTCAATCCATGGTACCAAAAAAAAAAAAGGGGGGGGGGTATCTTTATATTGAAATTTGTTTTCAACATATTAAAATGGCCCAGATTGGGGCTGGGGTTGTGGCTCAGCAATAGCACACTTGCCTAGCACGTGTGAGGCATGCTAGGTTCGATCCTAAGCACCACTTAAAAATACATAAATAAAGGTATTTTTATTTATTTATTTATTTTTGTATTTTAATATTTATTTTTTAGTTGTACACAATACGTTTATTTTGTTTATTTGTTTTTATGTGGTGCTGAGGATCAAACCCAGGGCCTCAAGTGTGCCAGGTGAGTGCTCTACCGCTGAGCCACAACCCCAGCCCAATAAAGGTATTTTTTAAAAAAGAATATTTAAAAAAATGGCCCAGATTTTGTCAAATAATTCTATAAGAGCATTTCAATCAAGGAAGTTTTTTTCCATCATTCTAGTTTGCTAATAAGTGTTAGATCTACACAATATATTCCCCCCTCCCCCCCTCTCTTTTTTAACTTCTTACGTCTCTTTATTTAATCTAAAGCAGCTTCTCCTTGGCCTCTCCCTCCTTGCAATGTTTCTTTTCTTGTTAAACCATTGATTTGCTACAGAAACTCTGTTGTCTCTTCAATAGAAAGCTCATTATCACACAGTTATCAGAAATGGCCTAACATATTTATTTCCTACTCTATTCCTTCTTCTTTTTCATGGGAAGGAAAGAATGACTAACAATTGTTGAGCAGTAGTAACTTTGCTACAATATTTTTGTATGTCATTCATTTTCTCCTTACAACATTGCTATAGTGTGCATGTTAAGTCAATCAGACTCAAGGTCAAGCTGCAGTTAGTAAGGGTCATGCAGGACAGTGCATTAGAACACACCTATAATCCCAGCAACTCAGGAGGCTAAGGTAGGAGGATTGAAAATTTGAGGCCAGCCTGGCAATTTAGTGAGACCCTGTCTCAAAAAGGGGGCAGGAATGGAGATCAGCAGTAGAATACCCCTGGGTTTAATCTCCAGTACTGCAAAGTAAACAAACAAATAACAAAAAATAAGGGTAGAGGCATGATTTGAGTTAAATCTATTGACATGGGCACATGTTATTCAGCTCTGCAACAGAAGGATCTGCAAGGGGCTAGGGATCTGGCTCAGTGGCAGAGCACGTGTCTAGCACATATGAGGCCCTGGGTTCAATTCCCAGCGCACCAGAATTTAAAAAAAAAAAAAAATGTAATAGAATGACCTGCAAGTTTAACAGATTACATTGTCCTATTTTTCCATTTAGACACTCTTAGCTTATAAATTCTAATTTCAGCATAGTAATAATGGCTAAGGATGACTATTTACTCTTGTGTCCAATATTGTATTATTTTTAAAATTATCTCATAAACAACACATTGGATTTTGGTTGCACCTGTTGCTCAAATAGGAACATGAGTAGCACTCAAAGAAACAACCTTGAAAAGTCCATTCAAAGAAGAATCATGACTTTCCCCACCAGAAGTATGTTAACTCTCTTTTGCCATTTTCTTTGCTGTCTTTAGGGCATCCAGTTCTACACTCAGCTAAAGACCATCACTTCTCAGTGGAAAGAAGAAGATGCTACTCTTTCCTCACCTGCTGTAGTCATGCCTACCATGGGCCGTTAGAACTAAGTTTCTCCAAGACTCAGTCATCCTGAGAAATCTCCCTCCACTCTTGACCAACTTCATTTGTCAACTTTGCTCAGATAAGATGCTTGGGATTAGAATATGTTGTTGTTCAACTCTTTCTCAGGACTCTTGGCCCCTTCAAATTTGCTGTAGGGAGACCCCTAATGTACCACTAACTTGCTCTTCTTATTTCTGCTTTGAAGGCAACTCTTGTAACTATAATGCTTATCTGGAATAAGAACTTAGTTAGATCTGTTTTCTAAAACATTTTCCCCTTTTTTTAATGACCTGAAGGAGGGTAAAGTCAGTGTATGTATAGATCATCTTCCAATAATTGGAAGAAGAACCCTTGGATGAGAAAACAGGACAGAACTAGTTCATGAACCTCTGGTGGAGCCTTAAACACAGCCCTTCATCAGTGCCAGTGGGCAAAACCCCTCTGCCAAGTTTTCCCGAGCTGCTTGCCCATTCCCTCACTACATAGGTATAATCCATTTCTATTTATCCCAACAATGTGATCACTGCTTTCTTTTCTGCTCAATGCCACTTTGTTGTCCCTGTGATTCATGACCACTAATTCTATAATTGTTTTGGTTCCTGCTTCTTAAAATCAATTCTCAAGAATACCTCAGTATACAATGGATAAATCAATGTTTTATGTGCCAAATGTTAAGTGTCAGAATTACTTCAATCATTTATCAGTACTTCAATCATTAATTCAGATGCAATAATTTTCTTAGAAAATTATTTCAAAAGTTATTTTAGACCCAGAAATCAAGGAGGGTTCCACCCACAAAACCATGTTAGATTCTTGCCTTAAGAAAGTCATATATTCTATTATTTGCCAATTTAAAAAAAATTATTTTATTTTATTTTATTTTATTGGTACCAAACATTAAACACAGGAGTGCTTAACCACTGAACCATGTCCCCAGTATTTTTATTTTTTATTTTGAGACAAGGTCTTACTAAGTTGCTTAGCACCTTACTAGATTAGTGAGGCTGGCTTTGAGCTTGCAATCCTCCTGCCTCAGCCTCCTGAGTCACTGGAATTACAGGCATGTGCCAGCCACCATACCTGGCTTACCAAATTTTATATATTACTCTTTCTTTTTGCCTGGATTTCTCATTAGTGATACTTTTTACTGAGAGAACTCCTCATGTGATTGATTAGGGCCTAATAAATTTCTAAATTTTTCATTACTTAAAATAGTGAAGAAGAAATGCTTTGACAGTCTTCTGTTAATTCAGCTGCCTTTAACCTTTGTTTCTTTGATATGTCTTTTTTTTTTTTTTTTTTTTTTTTTGGTGGCAGATGGGATTGAACCTAGGGATACTTTACCACTGAGCTACATCCCCAGTCCTTTTTAGTTTTGATTTTGAGACAGGGTCTTACTAAGTTGCTGAGGGTCTTGTTAAATTGGGGGGGCTTGGCTTAAACTTGCAATCCTCCTGTCTTGTCCTCCTGAGTCCAACAGGCATGTGCCACTATATCTAATCTTGAAATTAGAATTGGAGTTAATGTGCTCTCTGAACTAGGGGAAGACTTCTGGCTCTGATGGCATAATCCCTTAGCCAGATGGTATCATTTATTTTTCTGTTTCTCCATTAGTCATTTAGTGCTACCCTACTCCATGGGGAGTTATGGAGTGTGAAGTACTTTGAAAATGTTGTGCATGGATAGAATGTCAGAACCTTCAATAATTTAAGGTGACTGAAACAAAATACACTCGGAACCTTACTCTGGATTTTTGTTTGTTTGTTTGTTTGTTTTTTCTGCCTCCCTAGAAGTGAGGCATTAGAAATTTATAGTTTGAGAATACAATTGCCCCTTGTTTTCTGTCTTATAAAACACAGCTGATATTTAATACAATCCAACAACTTCAGACTGGGTTGAATAAAAATTTATTATTGCCTAAATTCCAAGTGGAATTAAACATAACCACGAAGATTCCTAACATTTTCCTTACATTTAAAGAAAATCACTTTTTTTTTTTAAAAAATACTGACTAATCAGAATTTTGTTGCTCTCATTGGAATAAACTCATTTGGCTAACTACTTGTTATTCAAAAGTGTACAGTTGTGTTCATGTTAGTAGCAGCTAAAGAATTCAATATTTTTCTCTTTTTTGATCTGATATGGCTTCATTTGAACTTTCTCCGATTGTACATTCTGCTAATTGATTATTCATAACAAATTACAAATAAAAAGCTCCTAAAAAGAAAGAAATCTGTCTTTTTTCTTTTAATGGTGCCATAATTAAGGAATTATTATATTATAATGCTTTTGTCCCCTAGGTTGTAGTGACTTGGACATAGACTTCTCACCCTATGTCCAAAGTTAAGAGTAGTGTCATTATATTTGTGTTTATATAACGGATAGTACACATTTTGACTATACTGCTTTTTTCCTTTTTTTTTTTTGGTACTGGCAGGGGTGCTTTGCTACTGAGCTACATCTCCAGATCTTTTTATTTTTTATTTTGAGACAGGTGCCTCACACCAAGTTGCTTAGGGCCTCACTAAGTTTCTGAGGCTGGCCTTGAACTTTGATCTTCCTGCTTCAACCTCCTAGACACTGGGATTACAGGAGTGTGCCACCACACCAGTAGGCTACTTATTTCAAAGGTAATCTACAGGTTTTCTACACTAAAAGAGATACATATCCATTTGTATTTTGTATTTCCAGCATTAGTGTGATTATTATAAAAATTTCTAGTATCTCATACTAGTGCTATTTGTTATTCATTTCACTGATCCCTGAAAGCTCCTAGATAGCCAGTAGAGAAAACAACTAAGGGTTAGCAAGAAGCTACATGGAGAATAGCTGTATGTATCACTCAATTAGATTACAGACTCCTTACTTTCTTGGACTCCTGAGATCCTTTTGTATTAGATGATGTCATTTCACTAGAGTCTGATACTTCAACTTGCTGGGTGATAAAGGTTTGATCTTGAAGTTTACTTTCATCCCTGCGATAATGACAAAATAATGAGTACTGCCAATATCCATACCTGGGATGTGGTTCAGAACAGCAACTTCATCATACTATTCTCACTCAACTTGAGTAATGTCAAATGCCCGCAAGAGCCATTGTGATCTGGCTCACATTTGAGACATTGTCAGGAGAGATCTTACCCAAATCCTTTCAATTCTCTACTGTCAGAAACAAAGAAATCTGGAACTGAAGTCCTAGAACACTGGTTGTATTTCCTGTGGTGAGTAAAATTCAACAAACAATGAGACAGTGTCTCCTTGTATCCTTATATTTCAACTATTAAGAGACAAGTGAAATACTTCAGTTAGATGGGCTTCTTATTTTCAAAATGAATTTTAACACACATAAAACGTGTTAGGCAAACTAATATATTTGTTTGAAAGTTGAGGTGAATTTGAGAAATGGAAATATTTATGGAGATGATCATAATGAAGGTACTCATACAAGAGTTTGTTTGGGGAGGGGAACAGTGGGAAATTGAACCTAGGGCTTCATGCATGCTAGGCAAGTGCTCTACCACTGAAACTATACCCCAGCCCTATACAACAGCTTATAGTGGAAAAGGGCAAGTTTGAACCAGAGTACCAACAAAAATGTCCAGAAAAATTCCCTTCTCACAGAGAGAAACTCAGACCATAGAAAAATTATTCAGTGGGGAGATAGGCCCAGTAAGAAATTTTTTTTCTTTAAATTTTGGAAAGTTTTAAATTTTGAGTTTTAGAACAGGAATAAATATATCACAAATTTTCTAATTTAAGTGAGTTTAATAGAGACAAAAAGGATAGTACTTTGATATCTCAACAGATACATACCCCATTCCTAAAACTTGTTTTCAATTAGATGTCTTTGAAAGCAGCATAAAACACTGAAAATCTGACTAAATAGTCTAATGGTAATATGTGAAAGAATACTTTAGACACTAAAGTATCTAAAGACCTAAGTAGTTACTAATGCATTGATTTATTGTAAGCCAGTTATTGATTATCCCCACTAAGATCACAAATAAATGTACTGTACTGTTGGATTCACAACCATGTACTACTATCAACTATGAACTCTTAACCAACTTCATAATCATTCCACTTGCCTTGGTAGACCTTTTATCATCTAATTACTCCCCCATCTGGTTTGAGTTTTCTCAATCTCTTCAACATTTCACCATCTATTCCTGTCTTATTGTTCTTTTATCTAATGCTGGCATGAAGTTTCAACAGGCTTAAACTTACTTCCATTATGAGTCAGGTTCAAGTTCATTGCTTGGGTTTGAGCTCTTTTACTCTAATTCCTTTGTTTCTCCAAGGCTGAAAATAACATATAGTATGGAACTAGAGGCCTAGATCTCTAGCTATATTTCTTGAATAGGAAAAAGTTAACTTAGCTGAGTAAAGTGTTGCACCTATAATTCTAGAGGCTCAGGAGGCTGAGACAGGAGGAGTGCAAGTTCAAGGCCAGCCTTAGCAAACTAGTGAGGCCCTAAGCAATTTAGTGATACCCTGTCTCAAAATAAATAAATAAAAACAAAGGGCTGGGAGGGTCTGTGACTCAGTGGTAAATACCCCTGGGTTCAATCCTTGGTTACCCACCCCCCCCCAAAAAAAATAAAAATCAGCTCAAGCCTTTATTCTCCCATATAGAGCATAAAGTCATTGAGATTAGGTGTGATGTCCTTACCTGTTCAACACTATATCCTCAATAAATAGCATGTACTCAATATGTATAAGTTAGGTAAATTAAGAGATAGATTAAATAAAATTTAAAACTTTATCTCAAACTGGCTTTCTGGTTTTGTTTTGTTTTGTTTTTGTGGTACTGAGGATTGAACTCAATACCACAAAAACAGAGGAGAAATAATCATCAAAAGGAATTATTGGAGGGGCTTGGGTCTGTGGCTTAGTGGTAGAGCACTTGCCTCACATGTGTGAGGTACTGGGTTCAATCCTCAGCACCACATAAAAATAAAAAAACAAAATAAAGGTATTGTGTCCATCTACAACTAAAAAAAATACATAAAAAAGGGATTATTGGAATGCCTGTGGATTTCTGTTTTCCCTTCTATATCTCTTATATTAGAGAGTCCCTTGATGAATAATCACCTTTAAATTATCTACTTATTTTTATTTATTTTTTTTTAAAGAGAGAGTGAGAGAGGAGAGAGAGAGAGAGAGAGAGAGAGAGAGAGAATTTTTTTTTTAATATTTATTTTCTAGTTCTCGGCGGACACAACATCTTTGTTGGTATGTGGTGCTGAGGATCGAACCCGGGCCGCACGCATGCCAGGCGAGCGCGCTACCGCTTGAGCCACATCCCCAGCCCTATCTACTTATTTTTAAAAACCAATAAAACCTAAACAGTTTCTATGCTTTTCTGAAGATGATATACATTTAGTTGAGCAATGTAACTTAGCAAGCATTATGGTAAGCATCATCCTAAATATCTAAGATAATTTTCCCCCTTTAATTCCAAGTCATCTTTTGTCTTCATGTCTCCTCATTCCTATTCCTTATCTCTTAGAGTTACAGTAGCTAAGCAGTAGAATCCTTTTAGCCCTTTTAGTTTTTCTAGTCCTTATTTATTTATTTATTTATTTTGGTACCTGGAATTGAACTCAAGAGCACTTAATTACTGAGTCCCAGCCCCAGCCCTTTTTGTATTTTATTTAGAGACAGGCTCTAACTGAATTGCTTGGGGCCTTGCTAAGTTGCTGAGGCTAGCTTTGAAATATCGATCATCCTGCCTCAGCCTCCTGAGTCACTGGGATTACAGGCATGCATCACTACACCCAGCTATGTATTCCTTTTAATTCTAAGAATAAATTCATTGTTCCTATGTGGTTTCTAAGTTCAATAACACTGGTATTTCACTGTAGAAGTAGGAAATTACCTAGGAACAAAACCATTCATTTTTGCAAAGAGCAATCTCAAGACTTTTTCCTTCTGCTCCCAGGTCAAATCTGCAATATCCACATTTCTTTCAGAACTTGTCCTAAAGAATTCAAAGGGGAAAAAAAAAGTGAAAAGGAAAAATGTAGTCAAAGTAAACATCTTTTCTTGTGAAAAAATATAAAGTATGGGGCTGAGTTTGTGGCTCAGCCATACAGCACTCGCCTTAAGCACATGTGAGGCCCTGGGTTGGATCCTCAGCACCATATAAAAATAAATAAATGAAGGTATTGTGTCCAACTACAACTAAAAAATAAATTTAAAAAATATGTAAATGTAAGAAAAATTCCATACCATAACTGAATACTATATAATGACTATAAACTATATCCATTACAAAAAATCACAAAATTGAAAAGGTTATTAATATAGTAGACAACCCAAAATGTAGTCATTAAGATGAAAATGACAAGAACTATAAAATGAAAAAGATTTGTACTCAAACATTAAGCAAATAAGCAAAATAGAATGTTGTAATATAGCATTATGTATTTATATATACTTCAAAGACAAAGGGAACAAGAAAAAAGTTGTTTATTGAGATTATTGATAGGTGTCTGAGAAAACAGAGTGACAAAAATCTGGAAAATAACATGGAAATTAAATTATAATCTATTTTTCTTTACCTCTAAATAAGGTTCAGCTAAGCTTTTCAGGCAGGTCTTCATCTATACTATAACTTTTCCAGTCTACTTGCTATTTGTAAAAGCTAATGTGTATTTATGTTGTATAATTCAGGAAATATTTTATATTTAAGTCTGTTGTTGTTGTTGTTTTGTTTTTCCTTTTTTTTTTTTTTTTTGTTCTGCAGTATTAGGGATTGAACCCAGGGGTGCCATATCTCTAAGTTATACCTCCATCCCTTTTTATTTTTTTATCTTGAGCTAAAAAGTTTTTAAATTTATTTTTTGTGCTGAGGATTGAACCCAGAGATGCTTTACCAGTGAGCTACATTCCCAGCCCTTTTGATTTTTTGTTTTGAGACAGGGTCTCACTAAATTGCTTAGGGCTGCTGGGCGCACACCTATAATTCCAGCAGCTCGGGAGACTGAGTCAGGAAGATCAAGAGTTCAAAGCCAGCCTCAGCAACAACAAGGTGCTTAGCAACTCAGTGAGACCCTGTCTCTAAATAAAAATATAAAAATTAGGGCTGGGGTTGTGGCTCAGGGTTTGAGTGTCCCTGAATTCAATTCCCAGTACCAAAAAAAAAAAAAAAAAAAAAATTGCTTAAGGACTCAGTTACTGAGGCTAGCCTTAAAAGCCTCAGCTTCCCTAGCTGCTGAGATTACAGGTATGCATCACCACACCCAGCTAAAAAATTTTTTATCTTTTTTTATTTTAGGGTCTCACTAAGTTGTCCAGGCTAGCCTTGCACTTGCAGTATTCCTACCTTAGTCTCTCAAATAGCTGGATTTATAGGTGTACATGAGAGCAAAACCTGAAAGTTTAGGGGTTTTTTTAATATTTATTTTTCAGTTTTCGGCAGATACAACATCTTTGTTTGTATATGGTGCTGAGGATCGAACCCAGGCCACACGCATGCCAGGCGAGCGCGCTACCACTTGAGCCACATCCCCAGCCCCTAGGGTTTTTTTTTAATATAAAATTTTTTTAGTGTAGACGGACACAATGCCTTTATTTTATTTATCTATTTTTATACAATGCTGAAGATCAAACCCAGGCTCTCACTCATGCTAGGCAAGTGCTCTACCACTGAACTACACCCACAGCCCTGAAAGTTTTAGGTTTTACCTTCTGATTACCATATACTTCAGTTGTCCTTCCAATCTGCCTCTTAAATAGATGCTGCAGATCGAAGCCAGGGCCTTGAACATGTTCTGCACATGCTTTACCACTGAGCTACACTTCCAGCCCCCTGATGATGCAATATTTTAAACACCACTTCAGCCATGCTGGTAGAGGTGATAAGTTGCCCAGTAGCAAAAATATTACACAGAAGGCAGAAAATGAAAAGCACAGTTTCTGCAATAACAACATGGGGAATCCTCTGAAATTTTATAACAATATACAGTAGAAAAAAGGTGTATGGGAAACTGCCTTATGTAGAGATTCAAGTTACTAATTAAATAAAAAAGGAACAATTATAGTCAATTGCTTTGTAATAAAAGTGGCATTCTGAATGTGACAATAAGATAATGCATTATAATATTAGTATATATGATTTTTTTAAAGTCTCATCATCTTTTCAGAAGCTTCCAGAGGCCACTGGCACATCCAATCTTCCCAATAGCTACAAAATTCAAAAACACCTACAAATTAGTCACTTCAAAATTAATTGTAGGGGACTGGCTGGGTATGGTGGTACACATCTGTAATCCCAGCTACTGGGGAGACTGAAGCAGAAGGATCACAAGTTTGAAGATAGCATGGGCTGCCTATAATCTCAGCAACTACGGAAGCTAAGGCAGGAAGACAGCAAGTTTGAGGCCAGCCTTAGCAACTGAGGCAGGCCCTAGGCAACTTAGTGAGACCCTGTCTTGAAAAATAAATAAATAAATAGATAAATAAAAAGGGCTGGGGATATAGCTTGGTATAAAGCACCCCTGGATTCAATCTCCAGTACCAAAAAATAAAAATTTATTTGGTTAGATATTATTGTTTTCATCTCAAGATAGCAAAGGAAGCAGTACAAAATTTCTGAGAAACCTATGCTTATCAAAAATGTTTAACTTGAATCTAATGAAGCCTTTATAACTAATTTCCAATTTTAACAATATAAGAGTCCAGATACAGTAGTGCACACCTATAATCCCAGAAGCTCAGGAGCCTGAGGCAGGAAGATTTCAAGTTCAATGACACCATAAGCAATGGCAAGCAATGAGACCCGGTCTCTAAATAAAATACAAAATAGGGCTGGGGATGTGGCTTAGTGGCCAGAGTGGCCCTAAGTTCAATCCCCAGAACACCCCCCACCAAAAAAAAGAAAGAAAAATAGGGTACCTACTAAGAATACATACTAAACTCCACATACTCTGCTGAATAAGGATTGCAAAGGTAAATCAATTCCCAACTCAAGTAACTTGCTGAGAAATCTATTCTAATTGATTATCAAACTGAACTTTTCTGAGTTCTTATTTCATCAAAGGGCAAAAAAATGAGTGTACAAAAGATAATAAAAAGTGTTAATCTGTACCATTTTTCAGCCTCCATAAGATCCTGATTCACACTATTGGTGCTGTGTTCTCTGCCATCAAATGTCCTGATTAGAGGATATTCTGTTTTTCCTGCATATGCCTTTCTCATTTTTACATTGAAAGCATCTTGTGCTATCTGCTTATAATGCTTTCTGCTGAGTAAGATCTGTTGCTTCACTTGGTATAGAGCATCTAAAAAGAATCTTTCCACTTCTGTTCTCTCATCCAGGATGTTCTTGGCCAGCTTCTTCACACGATTCATTTCCTTGTCTTTCAGCTGAAGAAGGTGTTGCAGCTTGTCAATTTCCCCCCGACCTGCTTGGTTCTCTGTAATTGCCTGTTGCTGCAGTTTTGAAACTTCAGTCTCAAACTCTTTGGTCATAAAACTCAAAGCCTTCTCCAAGTTTTCCACCTTCTTTCGAAGAACTTGGATTTGTGTTCTCTGCTGGGTAAGTTGCAAAATCTTTTCCTTAATCAATAGATCATTGATCTCCTAAAAACAGATGAAAGAAGGGAGAGTTCTTTAATCATTTCAAACTAATTTCCATTATTTCATGAGATTTGAGTTTAATACAAGGGTAAGAAGGATTATTTTAATATTTATGTGTAAAGAAAGTAACAAACACCCTAAGGCCCTTGTCTGGAAATGTGATTTTACTGATTATGAAGTTTCAAACTTCCTCTAAATTTCTGAAAGGTTAAATATTTTATAATATCTAAATCAATAAGGGCCTGAGGTTGTGGCTCAGAGGTAGAGCACTTGCCTATCATGCATGAGGCACTGGGTTCGATCCTCAGCACCACATAAAAATAAACAAAGATACTGAATCCACCTATAACTAAAAAATAAATTTTTAAAAATAAAATCAATAAAAAATCCATAAAACTAATGGCTATGTAATGGAAATTGTGGTAGTCTCCTAGTTGCCTATTCTGGTATTCATTTTCCATTTTTCTTTCCTCCTTAATAATAAAACCCCAATTTTATTAAGGAAGGAAGTAGAGCCAGCTGAAAATCCAAGCCTTCCTTGTAGTTCAGCATATTGAAATTCTGGTCAATGAGATATAAGTGGAAATACGTGTGAGATTTCCAGGAAGACCTCTAAATCTAAAAGGGTACTTTTTTTCTTGTTGTCCTTCCCCTTCCTTCTGTTTAGAATAATGGTTAGAGCTCCAGCAGCCACCTTGGCCATGAGTTAACTTTGAGGCTATAAGCCACATGTTGCAGAGAAGAGTTAAAGAAGCTAAATATCTTTTGATTTTGTGGCACTACCATTCCTGTTCTGGATTGCTTACCACCAGGGGTAAGAACAAACCCTCATGTGGTGATGCCACAGATGTCGTGTCTGTTACAGTCAAACTTATTCTTAGGTGATTCAGGAACCAACTATACTCAAAGGAAAATGAATATTCTAAAGGTAGTAGGCAATAAGAATCATATTTTTTTTAATATTTATTTTTTAGTTTTCGGCGGACACAACATCTTTGTTTGTTTGTGGTGCTGAGGATCGAACCCGGGCCGCACGCATGCCAGGCGAGCGCGCTACCGCTTGAACCACATCCCCAGCCCCAAGAATCATATTTATGTTTCTGATAAGAGTCATATTTCTAAAGTCAAGTATAATGCTTCTTATAAATTATTCTGTAGTGGAACCCCCTTTCTCCACAGAAAAGTCTTAACTGGGCTTCTCCAGAAATCTTCACAATGACTGATTTTAGGACTGTCAACAAAAGAGTCTATACAAAAGAGTTCAATTTAGATAAACATCCTATTTTCATGTTTCCCTATCTTACTTGGCCACTGACAGGGAAGAAATCAACACTCCAGGTGCTGGACACCCCATTACTAGTTTTTCACAAACATGTATCCAGTATAGTAGTTTATAGAAATGTGCAAAAAAGGCCTCTGGCCTTGAGCTGGGCTTCACAGAGATTTCTATATTCCTAATATAAGAGAAGATACTGGGCACAAGGCACTGGGTTCGATCCTCAGAATCACATAAATGTAAAATGGAGATGTTGTATCCACCTAAAACTTAAGAATAAATATTTTTTAAAAAATAAGAGAAGATACCAATTGGGATCCATGGTAACAGCTGGAAGGGGAAGGAAAGAAAGGGGAGAAAAAGCTCTCCCCTTCTCGGAGGTTGTCCTTGAAGAGTTAACTTGCCCAAAACAGAGAAAGGAAAAGCTGCTTTTATATAAACTTCTGCAGACTGTGAACTTCTGAGCCTCTCCCCTTATATGCTGGGTATAAGATTCTGAAACTACCTGCACTTGGGGTTCAGGGGATTAATTGATTACAGCAAAAGCTGTGCCCTCTGAACCTGGCTGCAGCCAAATAAAACTGTTTCTTGCTGTCTTCGATGCCTTGCCATGTCTGTCCCTACAACAATTCACTAATTCATCTTTTCAGATAAGGAAACTGCAGCATCCAGACAGAAAAAAATGGTCCTATTGTCCTTCTGTATCCTTAAATTAGTCAATTCTTGATATTCATCAACTCAATCATTAAAAAAAAAACTAGGAAACAGTGTAAATGAGAGTGGGAACCTTTTGATGTAAAAGGAAAGTATGATTCTCTTGCAACTTCTCAGAGTTTTTTTGTAGAGCATCAGCTTCCTTCAGGTGGTATGTGAGAGCTTTCTGGAGATAAATATTCTCTTTAAAAACATTTCTTCCAGCAGCATTCAATTGCCTAAAAGAGACATAAGATTACAAAATATAGGCCCAAGTTTTCGATATTATCAAATGAGAACAATGATTGTTTTATTCTCTAACATTAATAATGACAATCACTGGGCCGGAAATGTAGTTCAGTAGTAGTGCACTTGCCTAGCAGCTTATGATAGGTACTCAATAGGTAGGTTGGAATCTTGTTACAAAGTTCTCACCCTATAGGAAAGTGCAAAGTGATGTGTTACTTTCAGTTGTGAAAGTAACACTCCTATCCAGATGACAACTGAAGAACTCCAAAACAGCAGAGGTACAAAATGAAATCATCCCAGGTTCCTGAATCACCACTGGAGAAGAGTTGCCCAATCCACATTGGATTGTTACAGAAACAAGAAATAAACCATTAAGACCTGGGAGTTCAATAGTTAACATAAGATACCTTAGTGTTGCTTCCACTAACACATCTCATAACAATCCTGCAAATCTACTATTATTAGCCCCATTTTTATTTATCTATTTATTTATTTATTTTTATTTTTTGGTATTGAGGATTTAACCTAGGATGCTTAACCATTGAGCCACATCCCCAGCCCCTTTTTGGTTTTTGAGAAGAGTGTCTCACTAAGTTGCTTAAGGCCTTACTAAGTTGCTGAAGCTGGCTTTGAACTCAGGATCCTCTTGCCTCAAGCTCATAAGTCGCAAGAATTACAGATGTGTACCACAACACCCAGCTATTATTAATCCCATTTTTAGATGAAGAAAATTTTCAAGAATCTTAAACAGCTGAGCACAGTGGCATACTCCTGTAATCCCAGCAGCTGGGAAGGCTGAGACAGGAATATCATGAGTTCAAAGCCAGCCTCAGCAAAAGCCAGGCTCTAAGCAACTCAGTGAGACCCTGACTCTAAATAAAATACAAAATAGGGATGGGGAGGTGGCTTAGTGGTTGAGTGTCCCTGAGTTCAATTGGCTACCAAAAAAAGTATACATGTTGAGAACCAAAGTCTAACTTCAAGGCCCAGATTCTCTCTACCACACCGTGCTAATCATTACAGAATGATTAGAGGGAAAGAAGTAGAGAACATAAAGAGAACAGTTAGAGAGAATAGACCAGAACATTTGAAAAAGGCAAGCCAGAAGAGGAGGTGGAAGACAAGAAGATAAAAAGAAGTCAGGTGCAGTGGTACATGCCTATAAACCCAGACACTTGGGAAAGTGAGGCAAGATGATCACAAATTAAAGGTCAGTCTTGGCAACTTAGCAAAACACTATCTCAAAATGAAATAAAGATGGCTAGGGATATAGCTCAGTGATTTCCTAGCAAGTGTGAGGCCCTATGTTCAAACACCAGTATTGTCAAAAAAAAAAAAAAAGGTCTGGGTATATGGCTCAGTATTAGAGCACTTGCCTAGCATGCACAAGGCCCTGGGCTTGATTCCCAAACTGCCACCAAAAGAAAGAAAGTAGACTAGCAAAAAAGTAAGAGAGGCTTATTTGAAAAAAGAGGCAGCGATCTCTTACGTCACAGCTTCATGGTGGGCTCTCTCTGCCAGCATTACTATCTTCTTTTCAGCCTCTTTTTCTAGTCGGTGCTAAAAAAAGAAAATGGACAGTTTAAAATAGTTATATCTTCAACAACAGTTCTAAGAGATTAACGATTATTATTTACTTTTCACAATAACACTATAAAATAGATAATATTATTATCCCCAGAAACAGTGACCTAGGAAAAGAGAAATAAATGGCTTTCCCAAAATTACATTGTCAGGAAGTGGCAGAGCAAAGATTCATACATAGGCAATCTGATGTTATATAGCCTCCCTAGTGAGTAGTCAAATAAATAAGAGAATAAATAGGCTGTGATAAGAGCTATACATGAAATACATGGGAGTAATAAGGGAAGCAGTAACTGGGGGAGGTCATTTTAGGCTGGAGTATAGGAAATCTCTGAGGAAATGACATTTGAGCCATAGCTTAAAGAAGAACATCTCAGGAAGAGGCAGTAGTCAAGCACAAAAACATGGAAGAAGGCAGAACTTTGTGGTTCAAGAAACAGAAAGGAACTAGTATAGCAGTACGTAAAAACGTGGATGTGTAACTGATGTGATTCTGCAATCTGTATACGGGGTAAAAATGGAAGTTCATAACCCACTTGAATCAAATGTATGAAATATGATATGTCAAGAGCTTTGTAATGTTTTGAACATCTAATAAAAATAAATAAATCAAAAGAAACAGAAAGGAATAAATGGAAAAACAAAATCAAATCAAACAACAATGATCTGGGAAAATCATATACGAGCAGGTGGAGCGTGCAAAGCAGGAGATGAATGACAGACCTATTGGAAAGCCTAATGCCTTCTGAAGCAGCAGCTCTGGAATTCAAACCAGTAGAGAAATACCCATGAAATCTGTAACAACAGGGCGAGGCAGATACTGCTGAGGATGACCAGTTAAACTTAATTCCCATCTTCCTTTTTCCTTCCTAATGCTACTAGTGGCCGAAAAAACAAAACATTCACTTTCCCAGCAACCTTTATAACATGGTTCTGGCCAATGAAATCTAAGAAGAAATCTGCTAAAAGCTCTAGGAAATGTATTATGGCTTCCAGATAAAAGGGGCAGATACATCTGGAGGATCCCCTCATTCTTGCCTTAAACACAAAGAAAGATTGAAGCTATTTTCATCATCTTGCAACCATGAGGGAAAGACCAGGAGCCATCTACTCTCAGACAGAATAATCCTATTTATATAAGCACATTACTCAGGTATTCTGTAAACTGACCAAGTACTTCTAAAGAGATCAGATTGGGGTGGAGTAGAAGGGAAATGCAACTGAGAGCATCCTATTCCTGGCCATTCCAGGAAAAGTCTCAGAGGGAAAGCACCAGAGTGCTGCTCCCATCTTACTCCCTTTAGGTAACTCCATACTCAAACTAGAAACCTAGAGCCACTGTGTGTGTGTGTGGTATTGGGGAAGGAAGCCAGAGTCTCACACATACTAACCACACAATCTACCACTGAACTAACCCTAACCACTTTTCAAAGTAATTCCTTTTACCTAAACTTCATGAATACTTATTTGCCCCACCCTCAACTCCCTACATCCCTATCAATTTCTGAATCTACCTCAATTATTTCCTAAGAATGAAAAATTAAAGAAACAAAAGAATAAATTAAAATCAAATGGCCTCTGAAAACAAAAACAAACCCCCCTCCCAAAAAAAGAAAAGTGTTCCAACATACTTCCTATAATTTGGAGAATTAACTTCAGAGACCCAGAGAAACCAGGAAGTTTGTGATGTGCTAAGAAACATTTTTGAGCCCCCTTTTATTAACATCCTTGGCTCCACTAGACTAGGCAAACATTTTCATGCTCATACTAGAGTGATTTCTCCAATTCCCTCTCCCCTATATAGGGACAGATGTAGCTTTAATTATACCAGGGGAATACCAAGCTGAGACTTGAAGCCTTGATAAAATGACAATCCTTCTGAGAACAACTTAAGTGTCTATCAATTGAATGAAATTCTTTGTGTGGCTGAAAATACAACATAATAATACAACATAAATAAAACTAAATGATATGGATGAAATGGAGATCATTATGCTTAGGGAAGTTTGCCAGGCCCAGAAAGACAAGTAATGTAGGATCTCATTCCTATGTGGAATCTAAAACAGTTGGGCTGGGGATGTGGCTCAAGCAGTAGTGTGCTCGCCTGGCATGAGTGCAGCCCAGGTTCGATCCTCAGCACCACATACAAACAAAGATGTTGTGTCCACCGAAAGCTAAAAAATAAATATTAAAATTCTTTCTCTCTCTCTCTCTTAAAAAAAAGTAAATAAAACAGTTGATCTCAGAAATTGAGAGTAAAATAGTGGCTACTTCAGGCCAGGGAGACTGGTGTGGGAGATGGAGAAGGAGAAGAATTGATCAGTGAGTGCTAAGTTATAGTTAGGAGCAAGAAGATGGTGGGGTGCTATTACACAGTAAAATAACTATAAATAACAACAATATACTGTAAGTTTCAAAAAACAGAAGATTCTGTGAAAGTTTTCCTCATAAACAAATGATAAATGTGTGAGGAGATAGGTTATTGTTTAACCTGATTTAAACATGTATACATGTATTGAAACATTATATGGTACTCCATTAATATGTACAATTTTGCTTTTATTTATCAGTTAAAATAAATTTTAAAAATTAAGAAAATGAATGAAAGGGGGGAAAGGACTGGAACATTGAGATTTCTATATTAAAAAGTTTTGTTTTCTCTTATTTTTATCTGTTATGAATTGATAATAATCTTATAAAATGCCAAATGGAAGGTTGGTATATGTCAGAATGCATGTATATACACTTATGTTGTTCTGGTAAACAAAACTTTTCTTAATTAACCTTAACATTCTTACCTTTTCTTCAAAAAATCTGCTCTCCAATCTGCTAAGAGACTCCTGATGTTTCTTCTCTGTATTTCTTAAATTTTCCTTCAGCTAAAATTTAAAAAACAAAACTGATCAATAGGAAATGGGGTTGATTGGGACATATTCCTAGAACATTCCCAATATAGAAACATTTTCTGATAAACATTAATTTTCCTAGTGCTGAACACAAAAATTTAAGTTTCCTCGCCCCTGAATACCATATTTCCCTCAATCTTCTACAGATTTATAAGAATAGTATTGAGGTGTTTTTTTGGATTTTTTGTTTTATATTTTTTGTTTTATATATATATATTTTGTTGTTGTTGTTGTTGTTGTTGTTAGTGGACCTTTATTTATATTCAGTGTTGAGAATCAAACCCAGTGCCTCACACAAGTTAAGCAAGCGCTCCACCATTGAGCCACAACCCCAGCCCCAGTATTGAGTTTTTAAAAGACTTTCATGATCAATAGTTCTCAGGGCATTCAGATAAGTTAAGTTGTTCTCATCATATTTTCCAAATATCATTTCAAATGTGGAATCATAAAATTTTGGAATTGGAGGGATGTTCCCATGCCAGAGTAAACTGTGGCCCTGAACCATTGCCTGGCTCCTGTGCCTGTAGGCTGCTGCCACTGAAGCAGGTTGCACAGTGGGGAAATTAAAAACAAAAGAAAATAATTGGAAGTATGGTAGGAGTCAAACTATATAATTCCCCCACCTAATATAAGAATCCCTTCTGAGAAAAATGTTTTGAGACAGAAATATCACTAATTCAGGTCTCATTAATATATCAGACTCTTAAATAGTTCCCATTAAAAAAAATCTTCCTAATATCAATCTAAAAAATATCTCCCCATGATTCCCATGGGTGGATACTACTTCTATTATTAAAATGATATAGAATAAAAAAGGCTATAAAATTATTCTAAGTAAAGAAATATGAACTAATTTAGAATGATGATCCTGAAGTCTATATTACTGGAAATAATAAGTCTGACTGAACATGGTGGTACATACCTGGAATCCCAGCATTTCAAGAGGCTGAGGCAGGAGGATGGCATGTTTCAGGCCAACCTGGGCAACTTAGTAAAACCCTGTCTCAAATTTTAAAATTTTAAAAATTTAAAATGGCTGGAAATGTAGCTTGAGGTAGAGTACCCCCAGGTTCAAATCCCAGTACCAGCAAAAAATAAATAATAAAAATAAGATTGAGGGGCTGGGGATATAGCTCAGTTGGTAGAGGGCTTGCCTCATATGCACAAGCCCCTGGGTTCAATCCCCAGCACCACATACACGCAATAAATAAATAAATAAATAAATAAAATAGGCATCTGGCATACTTTAATATTCATACCACAAAAAAGGCAATAAAGGCCTGGGGCTGTGGCTCAGCAGTAGAGCACTTGACTGATATATGTGAGGCACTGGTTTCGATTCTCAGCACCATGTATAAATAAATAAAATAAAGGTCTATCAACAACTAAGAAAAAAAATTAAAGAAAAAGAAAGGAGGGTTGGGGTTGTGACTCAGTGGTAGAGCACTCACCCTCACGTGTGAAGCACTGGGGGTTCTATCCTCAGCACCACATAAAAATAAATAAAATAAAAAGATATTGTGTCCATCTACAACTAAAAAATAAAAAATAAAAAAAAGAAAGGTAATAAAATCAAGAGCTTCCTCTCTCACCAGCTGTTTGACGTTTGACGTGGTCTCAAGTTGCCAGGATAAAAAGAGGATAGTAATAGTACCAACCTCACAGGGGTTGGTAAGGATTCAGTAATAAATAATGCATGTAAAGTACTTAGCATAGTATCTGTTTAATATATAAATTAGTGAATATCATGTCTAAAACTGTCCTTCCTATATGGAACAATTTTCCTTTGTGTAATCTCTGTTCTGCTCACTAAATCTCCATTTTATATGATCTCTTTGAGATCTTTTTTTTTAAATGAGCACCATTTTATTTATTTTGGGGGGTACCAGGCGTTGAACTCAGGGGTACTCGCCCACTGAGCCACAGCCCTATTTTGTATTTTATTTAGAGACAGAATTCTGAGTTGCTAAGCACTTCACCTTTGCTGAGGCTGGCTTTGAATTCGCAATCCTCTTGTATCAGCCTCCCAAGCCACTGGGATTACAGGCATGCGCCCAGCAGATGTTATTCTTTCTTCCTAAAATTTAATACACCTTTTTAAATGGCCACATAGGGTCAAAGACTTTCAAACATATGTCAATTTAGCTGAGTATGGTGGTGCATACCTGTAATCTGTGACTCAAAATTAAGGTCAACTCATGAGTTTATAGAAATATCTTCTATTAAAAGAGTGTGGCAATAGCCCTCTCATATACCATTAGACTTCTCCAAAAATCTATAATTAATAAATCTTTCAAGTGATTATCAGGCAATGTGCATCACAAATTTTTAGAAGTTCATGTTCTTTTTTTTCGGAGATGGGGTCTTACTATGTTGCCCAAACTGGAGGGCAGTGAATATTCACAGGCACAATCTCAGTACTTATCAGTACTTGCAACCTGTTGGTCCCATTTCCAGGTCACCATATTGATGTCAAACTTAGTGTGAACACCCATTAGGCATATTGCACTATAGCCTGGAACTCCTGGACTCAAGCAATCCTCTTGCCTCAGCCACCTGTGTAGCTGGGACTACAGGCATGTACCCATCACAACTGATGTCATGTTCCTAAATTATATATTCCAATTCTAAGAAGTATCCTAAAAACTAATTAAAGATATAGAAATTTGGGAGGTTTTTTATGTTTATTTTTTAGTTGTAGTTGGACACAACACCTTTATTTATTTATTTTTATGTGGTGCTGAGGATTGAACCCAGGGCCTCACACACACTAGGCAAGCGCTCTACCGATGAGCCACAACCCCACCCAGATATAGAAATTTCTTTATGCCTTAGATGTACATCATACTTTATTAATAGTGAGAAATTAGAAAAAAAGTCCAAATACCCTACAGAAAAGGAACTAATAAATTCATGTCTATCCAATGGAATCCCATGCATTTATTCAAAAGATTTTATAGAAAAATACCACAGCATTGAAATATGTTCATAATATATAATGTGAAAAATTAGGTTAACAACTTGTACAACATCACTTTACTTCTAAAAAAAAATAGCATACATTTTAAAATATATTTCAACATAGAATCAAAGACTACACCAAAATATTAACAATGGTTATCTCTAGGTTGTATAATTGTGGGGGCTAGAGTTATTTTTATTTTCTTCTTTTTTTTATTCTCTAACTTGCTAAAATGAACATTATCAAAAGTAACAAAAATAATAACTTCAATCTCCAATATATGTTTCTTCTGTTAGGCAGATAGAAATCCACTTTTTTCTTTAAGAATGTATGCCTTGAATACTTTTTGATACTCCAAATATAGTCTCTTTTCAAGTTGTACAACAAATTCTATATACACAGTAAAATGTCCCTAATGTATACCTCCAATTTGAAGTTCATAGGCCCCTACACCTGTCTCATTTATTCCACATTTGGAATTCCACAGAATCATCTTATTTTTCCCATAAACTTGTAACTTTTGCCTTTGAATTTGAAGTCCTCAACAGCCCTCTTTGAAAGGTCTGAAATCTATTCTTCCAGTAGGTGGCAACGTTGGTCTTTTCAAAAAATCACCATGACCAATTAGAATGTTAACCCATTTTTATTCAAGATATATATCTAGACATGGGTTGGTTATGTTGAGAGTTTCTCAAAATTTAACTATATTGCTTCAATTTGCAGCATTTTTACATAAAACAAAACTTTATATTCCGTCTAGAAAATCTTGATATTCCTTTAATCATGGTTGTTTTGGTGTGTTCGTAGGATTATCAAAAGAAAAACAAAATATTTATTTTGAGATTTGACAATTATGGAAAACCTAAGTAATGAGGATTAGACCCCATGGGGGTCTCCTGAGATATCGGAAGCACTGCCCTCTGCTGCAGGTCGATGCTTCTCCAGTTTAGCAATCAACTCTTTTGCGGGATTGAAGACACCGTTGGTCTGCTGGTCACAGACATAACAGCGCGGGGTGGTGCGATAATGCTGTAGTGCACAGTTTTCGCAGAAATAATGCCTGCATTTGGTAACGACTGGGTTCTGGAATGTCTGACGACAGATGAAACACTTGAATGGTATTTCCTCATCATCGCTTCCCACTTCATAATTTTCTTCTTCATAATCACCGTATCGACCCTCATCAAGCTCACGTTCTATCTGCCAACCGTGCTTGTAATCTGAACGGTCATGGAGGAATTTGCAGCTGTCTCCGAAGCCGCAGAAGCCAGTCTCCTTGTAGTCCTTACAGATGTCGGGCTGGTAATCCCAGCGCACAGTGGCTCGGAGATGCTCAGGGGCTCGGATGGGGCCCTTCCTCACCATCCCGGAGGAGGCATTGCCCATAGACGTGTCCTTGGGCTTTATGAATTTCTGGTAATTATTGATTCCCCGATAGATCTTGTCATCTTCTTTGCCCCTCAGTTCCTCCTGGATCTTCTGGCTGCGCTCAAAGATGGCTTGGGCGTCGCGCTCCTTCTCTGTGTCCAGCTCATAGACAGCTGTCGCCCCCATATCCTCTGGCCCCACAGGCTTCGCCGAGCGGGTGGACCTGTAGACCACGCCTAGACCCTCCTCCTCCTCCTCCTCGCTACTGAAGTTGCCGTGGGCCGCCTTCTGTCTACCGCTGCCGCGGGTCTTCTGTATCATTGGATTGTGAATCGCCCGCCTCTTCTCTGGTCGAACCACAGAGCTGCCTTCGTCACTACTGCTACCGCTTTCCCCGGGCTCCGGGTCACACACCCGACGCTTTCTGCGGCCTGCAGCCCCTTTCCGTACGGGCTTTTTAAAGAGGAAGGGACACACCTGGTCTGTTGACTTTCCTGGAGAGACCCGCTCTGCCATCTTGGAGCCTCGCGCGCCTAAACGGCTGCGGCGCGCCGCGCTGGGTGGCGCGGAGCCTCACGTCACTGGGGGCGGTGCGCTCGGCCGGAGGCGAAGGCGGGCACAGCCAGAGCGCAGGCGCAGACCGCCAGCGCCGGGTTCCGAAGACCCGCTCCGCCTTCAACAGGACTTTATTAAGCAATGCTGCGTTTCTTGGATTTCGCTGAACACTAAAGACTACACTGTTCGTGCCTCATAGAATTTACAATATAGTAGGCGATATAAGACAAATAAATAAATATAATTTCAAGATAGGTTGGGCTAAGTAATATAATGCCTTTTATAAAGGTACAGAGAATTCTCACGTTTTAACAGGACTTCTGGGGACGGTCTCATGGACAACATGCATTTGAGCCGAGACTTTGAAGACTAGGTAAAATTTAAAGGACAGAGATCCATCAGGAATGCATTCCAGATTTTAAAAACAGTGTGAGGGGCTGTGGCTCTGGCTCAGTGGTAGAGTGCTTGCCTAGCACGTGTGAGGCACTGGGTTCGATCCTCAGCACCTTTAACTAAACAGTGTGAACAAGCAAGAGAGAAAATACTTAAGATATAAGTGAATATCCAGTTTGGGTGGATTAAAGGGAGGGTGTGTGTGTGTGTGTGTGTGTGTGTGTGTGTGTGTGTAGGGAAGAGTGGAAGTAGCAAAGAGATAATGATGTCCCTAAGTTGGTTTAGGGACTTTCACACTAAGGTATTTAGACAATATCCGTTTACTGTAAAGTGACACTAAAAACTATTCTGGTGATCTGAACCCCAGAACAATATTTTAATAACCGCAGCTGTGTATACTGTGGACAACAGTGGAGGTCTTAAAATGTGTGCACCATTTTTTTGACACTCTTCCCTTCAAATAATGGAACCTAATTTGCCTCTCCTAGAATGTGGGTCAGACTTAGGGACTCATTTTAGAAACTTGCTACTTTTTTTCTAGAACTGGCATTTCCCTTCTTACTGAAGTCAGTCCAAAGGTTAACTGCTGATAATCATGGGAGGGTGTGTTGGCTGAGGTTTGGTTGAATTCACAAATCAATGCTTAGGGAAAAAACAAATAGCCTATGGAGACATTTGGCTTCCTCTTTTTCTCTCAAATAATCTCTAATTTGTCATGCGACATAGGCATAAATTTGTTAAGGCTTTTGCAGATCTAAGCAGTTAATTCTAATCTCCAAGAAAGAAACTTACATCATCTAATTCTTTCTCCACTTGAACTTTTCTCTTCTGGAATTGTTTTATTGTTTTTAGCTCTGTCTGAATCATGCCAATTTCTATGGCTTTTTGATGGAACTGTCCCTCCAGCTCATTTATTTGTGTAGTATGCTTTTGTTCCTGTGTTCAAAAAAGAGGCAAATGAGTTAGGAAAAACAGACATTCCAAAGAGTTACAGTCTATTTGAAGAATTAAGCCACTACTATATCTTCTTTGAGGAAATGCCCCACTTTAATTTTTGTATTAAGTTTTAAATTTTGCATAAAATTTTAATTTCTGTAAAATAACTGCCTTGAATAAGAAAAAAATTATGAAAAATTTTCTATCAGGTTGGTCTTCTATGAAAGAAAGAAAATGCAGATATTTATTTTAAAAAGGGCATAAGAAAATAAAAAACAAAAATAAAAACCTCCCAAAATTTAAAATTCAAAAGGGGCATAAGGAAACTAGGAATGTATCTCAGCTGTAGAGTACTTGCCTCCCATGCACGAGGCTGTAAATTTGATCTCAGCACTGGGAGTATAATATATCCCTAAACCTAAATTAAAATCAGTCAGCTAAGATTAAAAAAAAATTTAAAAAGAAAAAAAATTAGTTAAGAATCAAAGGGAGGATATATATATATATATATATATATATATATATATATATATATCCCTAATAAAAGAAAACAGTAGAAGGAGAAAGCAGAATGGAAAGGAAGGAAGAAAAGGAGAAAGAGGAAAACAGGACAAGGAATAAAATAAAGGAGGGAGAAAAAGGAAGAAAAAATGAGGAAAATGAACAAAAAAATATTAAAAGAAATGCAAATGGTCCTCAAACATTAAAAAAAAAAAAATCAGCCAGGCACAGTAGTATATGCTTGTAATCCAGCTACTCTGGAGGCTTAGGCAAGAGAATCACAAGTTTGGGCTGGGGATGTGGCTCAAGCGGTAGCTCGCTTGCCTGGCATGTGTGCGGCCCGTTAAGGATCCCGATCCTCAGCACCACATACAAACAAAGATGTTGTGTCCGCCGAAAACTAAAAAATAAATACTAAAATTCTCTCTCTCTTTAAAAAAAAAAAAAGAATCACAAGTTCAAGGCCACCCTTTTTCAAAAAAAAAAAAAATTAAAAGCGCTGGGGATGTAGCTTAATGGTAAAGCACCTGTAGGTTCAAATCCTCAAAATAAATAAATATATATATGTAACTATGCATACACATGTACTTATGTGAAAAAATATATATGAAGAAATGCTCAAAACATCCCCCAAAAAGAGAAATACATAGTTTCTTTTTAGTTGTAGATGAACACAATATCTTTATTTTTATTTACTTATTTTTACATGGTGCTGAGGATCGAACCCAGGGCCTCACGTGTGCAAGGCAAGTGCTCTACCACTGAGCTACAAACCCAGCCCCAATATATAGTTTCTTATCTATCACACTGGCAAAAATTTTGATATTAGATTCTATTGGTCAAGCTCTGAAGAAAGAGGAAATCTCATATATAGTTATGGCATTACAAAATAGCACAATACATATACAGGGAAATTTTCTAATTTCTAGAAAATCAGATATTTTCTTTGACCTTATAAAACTACTTCCAGGAGTCTATGCCAAAGATGCAGTAGCATGTGAAAAAAATAAATATACTAGTCTTTACTGGAACACCATGGTATAATAGCAACCCAACTATCTATCAAAAAGAGCACTTCTATGGACTGAATGTTTGTGTCCCCACCAATATACTAATTCTGTAATCGCCAGTGTGATGGTATTTGGAGGCATGTGTTTTGGAAGGTAATTAGGTTTAGATGTGGAAAAGAAGGTGAAGCTTTTATGATAGAATCAGTGCATTTATTATTTGGGGGGAACTGGGGATTGAACCCAGGAGCCCTTTACCACTGAGCTACATCCCCAACCCTTTATTTATTTATCTATCTATCTGTCTATCTATCTATCTCTCTTTCAAGAGAGGTCTCGCTTAAGTGCCAAGGTTGGCCTCGAACATTCAATCCTCTTGCCTTAGCCTCCATAGTAGCTGGGATTACAGGTGTGTGCCACTGTGCCCAGTGGGGTCAATCCCTTTATGAAGAGATAAAGCACCTAGAGCTAGCTTTCTTTCTATATGAGAATACGGGAAAAAAAGGCAGTTGTCTGTGAACGGAGAGAAGGATCCTCACCAAGAATCTAACCATGTTGGCATTCTGACCTCAGACTTTAGGCCTCCCAAAATGTGACAAACAAATGTTAGTTGTTTAAGCTAACAAAAGCTTAAGCTCTCTCTTAGGGAGACCCTGTCTAAAAAAAAAAAAAAAAAAAAAAAAAGGGACTGGAGTCTGGAGTTATATCTCAATGGTAAAGTGCTTTTGGGTTCTAGCCCCAGCACAAAAACAAACAAAGAAACACAAAAGCAACTTCTGGACTAGGGGTGTACTCAGTCTACGGTATTCTGTCATAACAGTCCATACTGACCAAAACAAGGACCATTTTAGAAAACACTTCATATTACCATGACCTCCAAAAAATACTATTGAGTAATCTGGATGTGGAGGCCCATGCCTGTAATCCTATTGACTCAGGAGACTAAGGAAGGAAGATGGAAAAGATCAAGGCCAGCTTGAACCTAGACCCTGTTTCAAAATAAAAAATGAAAAGGACTGGGATGTAGCTGACTGGTAAAGTGCTCCTGGGTTATAAAATAAAATACTGTTATATGAGAAAAGAAAGGTGCTGGTCTAGGTATACTGTATGCTACCTTTTACCTTGTGTTAAAACTTATTACAAAATATACATTTTTAAAATGAAAGGATATACCTATAATAAATAAAATGGTTACCTACAGGGAGAGAGAGAATAATGTAGAAAAGACGTGGATAGAGGTTACATTTCTCAGTATATATGTCAGTCTTGATTTTGGAACCATGTAAATAACTACAATAATTACAAAATTTTACATGCAAAATAAAAATTTTTAAAAAGCAAATTCTAGCTGGGCATAGTGATCCATGCCTGCAATCCCAGTGACTTGGGGGCAGAGGCAGAAGGATTACAAATTTGAAGCCAGCCTCAGGAACTTAGGGAGACCCTATCTCAAAAAAAAAAAAAAAAAAAAAAAAGGACTGGGGATGCATCTTAGTGGTAAAGTGCCTTTGGGTTCTGGCCCCAGCACAAAAACAAAGAAACACAAAAGCAACTTCTGGACTAGGGGTGTAGCTTAGTGGGTTCAGTCCCCAATGCCAAAAAAAAAAAAAAGCAACCTCTAAAACTCAAAAGCAGGCAGGCACTTGCCTGTAATCCCTATGACTCACAAGCAGGAGGATTACAAATACAAGGCCAGCCTCAGCAAATTAGAAAGGCCCTAAGCAGACCCTGTCTCAAAAATAAAAAATAAAAGGGACTGGGAATACAGCTCAGTGGTGCACCCCTGGGGGTTCAATCCCCAGTTTAAAAAAAAAATTGAAAGTAAAATCTATTGTTGAGTTGGTGGCATACCATAAAGAAAGGAACTTCACATAGTTTTTAAACCTTGCAATTTTGGTCATGCATTTTTATTGGTATATATCCTACAGAGAAAATGCCACCCCTAAAATCTAAAACTGGTTCCAATAATCTATTGTTGGTGGTAGCATAAATATTCTGAGATTGTAAATGCATTAAGTTCTAAGCAATGTGGTAATTATGCTGACATCATTAAAAAGCAGGACTTTGGGGCTGGGGATGTGGCTCAAGCGGTAGCGCGCTCGCCTGGCATGCGTGCGGCCTGGGTTCGATCCTCAGCACCACATTCAAACAAAGACGTTGTGTCCGCCGAAAACTAAAAAATAAATATTAAAAAAAATTTTCTCTCTGACTCTCTCTTTAAAAAGAAAAAAAAAGCAGGGCTTTGGCAAGGGAGAAACGAGATGCAGGTAAAGTTAAGTAAAAATCCTATATTCCTGCAACTGAACGGAAAATATTAGTAAGGGCTAATATGTATTTCTTAGCTTGTCTACTGAAAAGCACCAGGAGCAATACAAGTAGGATCAGTAAGCACCCCTAATACCAGATAATTTTCTAAGTTTTCTACAATAAAAATTTCATAATATGTTGTTATTGTTGTAATTATTATTATCATTGGTGCTAGGAATTGAATCCAAGGGTTCTTAACCACATCCCCAGCCTTTTTTTAATGTTTTATTTTGAGACAGGGTCTCTCTAAGTCCTTAGGGCCTCACTAAGTTGCTGAGGTTGATCTCACACTTGAAATTCTCCTACCCCAGCCTCTGGAATTATAGGTATATGCTTCCATACCTTGCCTATAATATGTTCTTTTTGAGTTTAAGTATGTAGGCTTTAAACTTTTCCACTTATCAGGTCTTAAATATCTGAGCTCACTAAAAACCTGACTACCTAGCAAATGAAGTATTAGTATATATAAATACTCACTAATTTTTCCTTCTCCTCTTGAGCTTTTTCTTTCGTCTCAGCCAGTTGTTGTTTTAGCTTTTCAATCTGAGAAAGATGAAAATACAAAGTCAGGAAGATGTTAAAATTGTTCTGTAGTCTACTTTCACTCACATATTTTAGTATTTTACATAATATTAAGACCAGTGGGGTAGGAGAGGTAGTAAAGCAGAAAGAGGAGAACGGGACAGGAGTTTTCCCATATCCTTAATCTGTTATTGGCAATCTCCAAAACCAAGCTATCATCAGAGAATTACCTAGGTGATTTTTTTTTTAATGCGTGGTTAAAAAACACACCATTAAATTCACAGTCTTCACCATTTTCAGTGCACAGTTCAGTAGTTTTAAATACATTTACATTGTTGTACAAAATATCTCAAACTTTTCAATCTTGCAAAATTAAAACTCTATACCCATTAAGCACTAATGCTCCCTTCCCTTTCCCCACAGCCCTTGGCAACCTCATTATACTTTGTTTTTACAATTAAAAAAAAATTTTTTTTTAGTTGTTGATGGACATTTATTTTATTTATTTATATGTAGTACTGAGAATTGAACCCAGTGCTTCACACATGCTAGGCAAGTGCTCTACCACTGAGCAATAATCCCAATCCCTCGTTTTTTGATTGCTTTATATACTTCAAATGAGAGGAACCAAATAGTATTTGACCTCTTGTGATTGGCTTATTTGATTTAGCATAATGTCCTTGAGGTTCACCATGTTGAAGCATATGACAGGATTTCCTTTTTCAGATTGCATAATATTCCATGGTATGTGTACACCTCTCTTTGCCGCAGTCCAGCTGCAGCAAACTAATGGGGGGGCGGGGTGACAAGCAACTTGTGTACATTGATACAGCAGGAGTGGGAGCCGTTTATTGTAGGACAGGAGGGGTATTTATACATTCCACACAGCTTATCTAATTAACATAAACCAGATATAGCAGTCAACCAATAAGGAATCTCCACACTTAATGGCTCGCTGGCGTTACTTCATAAACCACTCCCTTTGGCAAAATGCCAGGCGCCATCCTGACTTGTTTACAGACTCTAACATCTCTTTTTCTTTCTTTCTTCTTATGGTACTAAAGATTGAACCCAGGGTACTCTACTGTTAAGCTATATCCCCAGCCCTTTTGAAATTTTATTTTGAGACAGGGTCTCATTAAATTGCCCAGGCTGTCCTCAATTGTAATCCTCCTGCCTCAGCCTCTCAAGTAGCTGGGATTACAGGCATGTGCTACCATGTCTGACCTATATCAGTATTTTTGAAGAACACTGCACAAGGTTGGGCTTTTCTGATGTCTCCTTATGGGCTACTATGTATTTAGGAAATGCATATTCTACCTAAGTGATAATATATCCTTTTTAGTACATCCCATCCTGAGGTGAATGACGTTAATACAATCAGTTGAATAAGATTATGTCTGCCAGTTTTCTCCATTTAAAAATTATGGTTTTCCTTTTATAATTATTAAGAAATTTGTGGAAACATATTTTGAGACTATGCAAATAGTGTCCTCCTCATCAAACTTTCACCTACTAGTTCTAGCATCCATAGATAATTCTCGTTTTTTAAATTGGATATTAAATGCTAGCCACCATTCTAAGTTCTTTTAACAGATTATTTTAATTAATCCTCCCAATAACCCTACTGTATTAGTTTAGCAAACTATGGTAGCAGGTACCATAACAAAATATCACAAAATAGGTTATTTAAACAACATGAATTTATTTTTCAAAGTTCTGGATGTTGGAGGTCCAAGATGAAAGTGTTGGCAGGTTGGTTTTCCCATGGCCGCTCTCCTTGGTTTACCTATGGCTGCCCTCTCTGTGTTGTCCTAACACAGCCTTTATTCTGAGCACTCACATAACTGGGGTATCTTTTTGTGTTCAGTTGCCTCTTAGAAGGATTGAATTAGGGCCAACTTTATAGGTCCGCTGATAATTCTTGACTGATTCCAAATAGTGATTTTTCTAGCTTCATCACTCCTTAGAAATGTATTAATTGGCATTCTATGTAAGAAAAAATTTCCCCTCTCCTTTATTTACTTGGTTGTTTGGTGTTTTTTGTTTTTGTTATGCAGTTCTGTGGAATCAAACTCAAGGCTTTGAACATGCTAGGCAAGTATTCTACCATTAAGCTATATTCCCACCCCATTATTATTTATTTAAAATTTCATTTTTGGTGGTGCTAAAGATCTAACCCAGAGCCTCACAGATGCTAAGCAAGCACTCTACCACTGAGCTACATCCCTAGGCCCCTCCCTTATTTATTAATGTATGTATAATTAATAGTGTAGACTTAGGATTCTTTTTTTTATTCAATAAGTTACAATCTATTATTGCCAATGTTTGTTTTGGTTGTCTCAGATTTAGTCAATTGTAGTCTCTTCAAGCTAGCCTTTGTGTACTTTAACATTTACTCACTTTCTGGCACAATAAGATATTCCAGGGTTATCTTTTACATCCTACCTAAATCCTGGAATCAATAGTTTTTTCTAATTAGTTCCAGGTGCTTCTCTGGGAATGCTGGTCCATTTCAGTGGGGAACCTAAGTAGCTTTTTAAACTAAAGATTCATTGATATGGTTATAGAATCAGAGGATTTAGAAGTAATATATTATAAAATATTATCTTAGAGCAGCTTAAGAAAAATCTAGAAATTTAAAAAATATATTGGAACAGTCCCAAGTCACATAGAACAGGTGTGACACTTAATAAGATTACTTTATGATTGATTCAACAAATCCTCAAATACAAAAACCCAGTCTTTGAGAAAATCTCCTAGTTTTGTTCAAGACAAAATTGTTTTCAAAACACATTTCATAAGAAAAATTTCATTTCTAATATTTCTATAATTAATGTGAAGTAATACTATAAAGAGTTTCAGAAAATAACACATTTATAGAATACTGAAAAATAGATAATAATTAACTATGGAAGAAGCCAGATACACCTACAGCCCTAACTACGTGGGAGGCTGAGGCAGGAGGATTACTTGAGCCAAGGAGTTCAAGGTCAGTGCCTGGGCAACATAGTGAGACCTCATCTTAAAAACAAAAAAATGGAAACTATGGGAGAGCTAATTAACTGATATTTATTTAATCTGATTTTTTTCTTCTTCCCAATATACTTTCTTTGTTTTTATTATTGTTATTCTTGTTTTGGGGGATTGAACCCAGGGCCTGGGGCATGCTAAGCATGTGCTCTACCATTCAGTTAAATCCCCAGCCCCAGTTTCTTTGGTTTTAATGGGAACCCATGATTGTAAGAAACCACATTTGCTACAGCAAGATGCTGGCCTCTGATATACAGAGGCAGATCTCAATCTGAAAATACAAGTAAGTGATACTGATAAATACAAACCAATACTAATTAACTAAAGTAGGATGCAGAGTGTCTATTAATTAATTTCAAAAACTATTTGTATGGCTGATTAAAAAACTTACTTTAGATTAATATTTTATAGGGGGACAATGTATATAACACCTACTATTCAAAAAGTAATTTTTAAAACAGAAATTGTCTGAGAATGTAAAAAAATGCATAAAAAATTAGACTTTAATAAAATACATAAAATCCATATAAATGTTCAGTTGTTTGACTTCTCTAATGTACTTTCAATATCATCTTGAATTTAGTTGTTATTGCTATTAACTTTTTAAAAACATCAGTACATTCATAACAATTCAAAGTATTAGTATATTCATACATAGCAAAAAAGAATGTACTGAATGGCTACTATGTGCTAGGCCCTGTTGCTCAGGTGATATAATCCTTAACAACAACAAGAGGCCCCAAGTTGTCTTCTTCTGTGAGGTTTCATTCTATTTAGGAAAAGGGACAATAGACAAATATGTAAGTGACATGCATTATTAATAGATGGAAAGTAATAAATGTCACAAAGAAAAAGAAGTAATAAGATTAGAGAATGCTGGAATAGGGTTGGTTTTAATATTTATACAGGGAGATAAGATGTCTTATCACTGAAATGGTGGCATTTGAAAAACTATGGAATTATACGTGAATTTGTATGTCATCCTTATATAGCCAGCCTTGCTCTACTTCACTCTGGTTTATTTATGTGTACTGAAACAAAAACATAAACAATAAAAAATAGTGAAGGGGCTGAGGGTATAGCTCACTTGTAGAGTACTTGCCTAGCATGTGTAAGGCCCTGGGTTCAGTTAATCCCCAGTGTGTGTGCAAAATGGATGAAGGAACATATAAAAGATGTCCAAGTTGAATAGTTGTAAGGAAAATACAAATTACAACAACAATGATAGAATAATTTACACTCATAAGATTGGCAACAACTATTAAATACAATACCAAGGGTTGAGTCATATGTGGGTAATACATCATTTGTGACAATATAAATAGGTATAACACCTCTGGAGCTCAGATTTAATAATCCTTTGTGGGGGCTGGAGGTGTAGCTCAGTGGTAAAGCATTTACCTAGCATGCACAAGGCCCTGGGTAAAATAATTTTTCATGTGTGGTACTGGGGGTTGAACCGAGAATTCTCCCTCTGAGCTTTATTCCAATCCTTTTTTTTTTTTTTTTTTGTACCAGGGATTGAATTCAGGAGGGCTTAACCACTGAGATACATCCCTAGCCCTTTTTATTTATTTACTTATTTTAAGATTTATTTTTTTAGTTATAGTTGGACACAATACCTTTTATTTATTTTTATGTGGCGCTGAGGATCAAACCCTCGCACGTGCTAGTCAAGCGCTCAAACACTGAGCTACAACCCCAGCCCTTATTTTTTATTTAGAGACACAGTCTCAGTAAATTGCTTAGGGCCTTGATAAATTGATGAAGCTGGCCTTGAATTTGCAATTCTCCTGCCTTAGCTTCTTCAGACCCTGAGGTTACAGGGGTGTGCCACCACACCAGGCTTTTTTTTTTAGTTGTTGAATCTTTATTTTTATTTATTTGTCTCAGGCATGCTAGGCAAGTGTGTTACCACTGAGCCACAACCCCAGTCCCACCCATCAGGCTTTTTAAAAAAATTTTTGAGACCAAGTCTTGCTAAATTGCCTAAATGGGCCTTAATCTTGTGAACCTCCTACCTTAAGCCTAAAATTGCTGGGATTACAGGTGTTATGCCAGATTCGTGAGACCCCAATAGACCTCCAGGAGCCGAATCTGATGCAAGCACACAAGAGTCTTTATTGCAAGCTGGAGCCTGGACTCACAACCGTTCCCGACGCAGCGGTCCCAGGGAGTGAGTCCTGGTCCTTTGTTCAGTGAGATTTTATAGGTTTTTTTTGGGGGGGATACTCTATGCTTCACAACACCGCACAGCAAATCATTCCATACCGCGGGAAAATCAAACAACACTTAACATTGATTAGCACATTCAATGGCGGGAACAAGTTGGTTAGGGGTGATTGGCTAGTACAAGAAGGGGGTTCCTTTGAACTGATTGGTTTAGGCCATGAGGGGTGTACGTGCTAAACTACATGGTTTCCCAACATGTTATCAACCACCATAAACTACTTGGGGGTCATCTGGCATCCCAGGTATTTTCCCTGTCTTATGCTGATTGGAGGTTGCTAGGGGGTTGCCATGGGTCCTCACCTAGCCTAACTGAGTCAGGGACACCTGGCACAGCAGACCTCTCCTGTTATTTACAAACAACTCAGCGGGGTGGGTTATGTATTTAGGATTGTTCTGTGGGTTTTTCCAAGGACAAGAGTAATGCCACCTTCCTTAGGACAGGACTTGAGGTAGAAGCTGCTGTTATTTATTTTTTAAAAATGGAGTCACATTAGTTTCTCACAGGTTTGTGCCATGGCATCTGGCTCACAAAATTAAAAAACTCTTGTGAAATTGAAGCTGAGTTTACCCCATAATTTAAAATCTTACTTCCTGGTATCTAGTCTAAAGAATCCCCCACATGTGGTCTCAGGCAGACATATACAGGAATGTTCATTGTAACAGTGATGTTTATTGTAACAGTGAAAAAAATGGGGGATAAACTTAAATCTTGGTTTATTTAATAGTATATTATAAAGCAGTTAAAATGAATGAAAAAATAGAATATACCTATTAATAAATTTTAAGAAAATAAACTGAATCATGTGATTTTTGTGAATATATCACAATAACAATGTTGAGTAAAAAAAAAAAACAAAAACAAGATGCTGAGTCAGGCTTGGTGGCATGCAACTATAGTCCTAGATACTGAGGAGGCTGGGGCAGGAGGAGCCTGGAGTTTACCACCAGCCTGGGCAACACAGCAAGAACTGTCTCAAAAAGTTGCAAAAGATCTGTACAATATGATACTATTTATATACATTTTAATGACTATGGAATGTCCTATTTATCAGTATGCATACACAAATAGAAAAACTACAAATATTATGTAAAGGAAGCTTACATCCTCAACATAGTGGAAATTTCCTTGGGTTTCCAAGCAGTTTATAGAGGCAGAAAGAAAATTTGTAGTTACACCTAAATTCCACCTTTAATGCCTACTAGCTCTGTGACTTGGGCAACTTACCTGTCCTGAGAGCCAATTTCTTTGTCTATATAATGGACATAACAATATTTTGGCTACATGTGGTTATTAAAAGAATTAAAGGAGATAATTAGTAGCCAGCATAGTGCCTGGCACAAAATAGTGGCTCCATAATCTTAATTCTCTCCCTTTTTCTTTCAGATCTAAAATGATAGCTTTACTGTCAACACTTCAATAAAGTATAATAAGATAAAAGATTCAAGTGGCAGAGAGAGAGAGAGAGAGAGAGAGAGAGAGAGAGAGAGATTTGCTGGGTTTATAATCTATCATGGATTATCAGTGAATTTTAGCAAATCAATAAAACTAAATATCAGCATCAAAACACAGAGATCATATTGGGTGTGGTGTTGTATGCCTGTAATCCCAGCTACTTGGAAGGCAGGAGGATGGCAATCAAGGTCAGCCTGGGCAACTTAGTGAGACCCTCTCCCAAAATAAAATTTACAAAGGGTTGGGGATGTGGCCAAAAGTAAAATGGTCTTGTGTTCCATTCTCCAGTGCAAAATGAAGTGTTCATAATGCTCCCTTGTGGTTATCACTTTCTATTTGTTTGAGACAAGAAAACAAGGGACAAGAATTCAAAATAAATATCAATAACAGTAAAACCACTCTGAAAAAGTTTTGTTTCAAAGAGAGTTAAGAGCTCACTGTAAAGAAGAAATACAATTGATCAAAAAATATATGAAAAAATGTTCAACATCTCTAGCAATTAGAGAAATCCAAATCAAAACTACACTGAGATTCTATCTCATTCTAGTCAGAATGGCAATCATCAAGAATACAAGCAACAATAAATGTTGGTGAGGATGTGGGGTAAAAGGTACACTCATACATTGCTGGTGGGACTGCAAGTTGGTGAAACCACTGTGGAAAGCAGTATGAAGATTCCCAAGAAAACTTAGGATGGAACCACCATTTGACCCAGTCATCCCACTTTGGTTTATACCCAAAGGACTTAAATTCAGCATACTACAATGATACAGCCACATCAATGTTTATAGCAGCTCAATTTACTATAGCTAAACTATGGAACCAACCAAGGTGCCCTTCATCAAATGAATGGATAAAGAAATTGTGGTATATATACACAATGGAATATTAATGAGCCTTAAAGAAGAATGAAATTATGACATTTGCCAGTAAATGGATGGAACTGGAGAATATTATGCTAAGCAAAATAAGCCAATCCCAAAGAACCAAAGGCAGAATATTTTCTTGATATGTGGATGCTAATTCACAATAAGAAGTGGGGGAAGAATAGAGGTATTTTGGACTAGACAGAAGGGAGTGAAGGAAGGGGAGGGGGTATGGGGGTAGCAATGATAGTAGAATAAATTGGACATTACCCTATGTGTATATGCGTACATGACCTGTGTAGCTCTACATCATGTACAACCAAATGAGAAGTTATACTCCATTTATATATGATGTATCAAAATGTACTGCATTATACACCTAATTAGAACAAATTTAGAAATATTAAAATATATTTTTGATGCTTAGATCATAAGAGCTCCTTTTCTCCAGAATGGAATTGAGATCCTAATGAAATGGCTTCATGCAGAGTTCTACCTGCTTTCTTTCCTCCTTCTGCTGTCCTAAAACAGAGTGTTCTCCTTCAGGGAACCTGGCTTCATAGCACCATCTTTGAAGAAACCAAGCCCCCACTGGAAAGCCATACCAATTAGCATCTGGATCTTGAACTCCAGCCTCCAAAAAGTGAAAGAAATAATTTTCTGTTCTTTATAAACTCTTAAGAGTTTGTTATAGCATCACAAAAAATAGATGATTAGGAAATGTTTATATGTGTAAGAGGAGATGGGTTTCCTACAAATAAAAATATAATTTTCCGACTAAAATATATATATATATATATATTTAAAAAGCTCACTGTAATGTCTTAACAATGTACAATTTCAAAATATTGAAATCCTTGAAACATATAATCACAGAGGTATTATATGAAGCTCAGGAGGCTTTCTATCTACCTACCATATTATCTTTTTCCTGATCCTGCTTCTTCAGGTAGCTTAATATGGACATGGTGTCTTTTTCCATTTTGTACTGCAGTTTCTTTAAGTCCTCATTACTTTTGGCCAGTCTCCGAGAAGTATCACGATACTCAATCCTAGAGAGTTCAGTGATTTCTAGCCTGGCCTCCCAAAGAGAGGCATTGGCCTTGGCTTGTTCCACCACAGTATCTTCTGGTCTTATCATCTTCCTGTATAGGAAGAGAACATTAAAAGTATATAACTATTTCTCTACTATATTAGTATTCTCTTTTGTTTGACACTGTATATATATACAAGCAAATACTGTTGAATGAATGAAATATATTTAATTGGGCTAGGGCTGCAGCTCAGCGGCAGAGTGCTTGCCTAGAATGTGTGAGGTACTGTGTTTGATCCTTAGCATCACATTAAAAAAAAAGGCATTCTGTTCATCTACAACTGCAAATATATATATATATATATATATATATATATATATATATATATATATATATATATATATATATATATTATACACACACACACACACACTTATTTTCACTTGAGAATTAAGAGGTACCTCTTTCTAGAAGAGTGTTTTGGAACATAATTCTTAAAGACTAGAAGGAAAGTCAAATTGATTTCATAAAGCTTCTACAACTTTTCATTTTTCTTTTAATTTTCTCATATTTGAATTTTCTTGTAATTCACTTGGCTGTGAACTTTGGTTCTTACTACTTTGTTACTTTTCTTCTAAGGACACATTTGTAGCATGCCCTAGTGGGGGGGGTGTGTTGTTTTGGGTTTTTACTTTTGTTGTTTTGGCTGGGCCTTGAACAAAAGATCAAATGACTTGGGCAAGAATGTTAAATATTCTACAAGTTGGTACCACAGTGCACCAGGGTTTAAAAATGCCTGAGATACAAACCACAATCATGTATATACAAAGGTGAAGAGGATTTTTTTTAAATAAAGACTGAGTTTATAGGCCTTCCCTGGATTTGATCCCCAGCTCTTCCAAGATGAATGAATGAATGAATGGATGAATGAATTTAAAGATTAACACAATAAAAGGAGAGATTTTTAAAATATTTATTGTATGAGTATTAACAAAACACTGTCCCTTTTTACATGGTAGGCATATATAAATATATTGATAATATATAAAAAGCTTCACCTATATTTAAATTCTAAACATTCTCACACACATGAGTGGACTTTTCTATACTGTCACCTCCATTATACATTCTTCAACTCTTGGTCCTCAGTACCTTTTCGCCTCTACCTTTTGTTCTCTTCAAATTAAGGCCAGTTCCATCTCCAACCCCCTACACCAGGCTGTTACAGCTGTTGATCTCTCTTTTCAGCATTAGGGATAGACTGCCTTGCTACAATCATCTACTTGCTCCCAGAAGGTACCATAGTATTGGTGTAAGAAATTAGATACTTCTAAAATAGATACCCCAAACACTGACTGAAGAAAGAAAGCAGGGTTTCTCAAACTATGGGCAGCCGAATATCCATGAAAAAAAAGGTCTGTTATTCTCAATGTTCCTAAATTTTTTGCATGTGTACTGCAGACATATGGCCAAAACCTGAAAACAAATGATAGTGAATACCAGATGTGATAAGGCCTTGGCATTTTTAAAAAGTGCTAAACTCTGAAGTTTTGTTAAAAACAAAACACAAAAATACCCTGTAGAAGAACACTTACATTAATACAAAGGGGGAAAAAAGCTACAAATAATTGGCTATCACAAAATGACAGTACTAGTTAACTATCTATAGATGATGGGATTACGGGTGATTTTTTTTTTTTTTAAAGAGAGAGAGAGAAAGAATTTTTTTAATATTCATTTTTTAGTTTTCGGCAGACACATCTTTGTTTGTATGTGGTGCTGAGGATCAAACCCCGGCCGCACGCAAGACAGGCAAGCGCGCTACCTCTTGAGCCACATCATCCCCAGCCCATGGGTGATTTTTAATTAATTAATTAATTTATTTATTTTTTGAGAGAGAGAGAGAGAGAGAGTGAGTTTTATTTATTTTTTAGTTTTTTCGGCAGACACAACATCTTTGTTTGTATGTGGTGCTGAGGATTGAACCTGGGCCCCACGCATGCCAGGCGAGTGCGCTACCGCATCTCCAGCCCCCATGGGTGATTTTTAAAAAAAAAATATTTGTTATAGTTGTAGATGAACAGCATGCCTTTATTTTGTTTACTTTTTAAATGCAGTGCCTCACATCTACTAGGCGAGTATTCAGCGACTGAGCCCCAACTGGAGCCCTGATTTTTTTTTCTCTTGTTTTCTCCACTCCCCTCCATGTTTTCCAAATTGTCTGTAGTAAACATGAGTTACTCTCTTAAACAAATTCTTTTTTATATATTTATTTTATTTTTATCACCCTGGAATTTTGGAATCCTGGGCCTCACTCATGCCATCTATGCACTCTACCACTGAGCTACATTTCCGCCCAAACAAGTTACTCCATAAACATCACAAATTTGGGTATTCCTGTGGTCCCATATATGGTGGGACACCACGTAAAACTCTAGTATGTTTAGAAGCCACAGAGGTCACTCAATAGGCCTGGTGGCAATCTAGCAGCAACTTCAAGCTTGGAAGGGTTTAGTGCTTAGAGCGTTCGTTACCCGCCTCTCATCAGTTTTGGGATATCTAAACAGTTACCCAAACTGGTCAAATGCTTAGGTTCTTCCTCGAACCAATCGGGATTCCTGAAAAGGCACAAGGAATTACTTTGACCACTCAGACCAGAACATCTTCCAGATGTTCAAAATCATCTTAGTCGTCTAGCAGAGATCTCTCAGGCTGGGGCTAAGCTAGAAGCAACAGTAGGCGCTGTCCTTAGAAGCCTGGAGAGCCAGAGCGGGATGCACCCGCCAGTGGGCGGCAGCCTGGGAGCCAGTTCCAAATCCCCTGAGGGCACCCAGGGAGAGGGGACTCCAGGGCGGCTGCTCCTTACTTAGAGTCTTTGTCTTTGCCTTTGCCCTTGCCCAGCCCTTTCCGTTTGTCCTTTTTCTTCGGAGGCATCTTGGCTTCTCCAGGAGCTCAGCCTCGTCGTTGCCTGTCCGGGCCTCCCGGGCCGGTTCGGTCTCCAAGGAAACCAGCACGCGGAGAGGGTAACGTCCAGAAGGCAGTTGCCGGCGCGCGAAGAGCGCACGCGCCGTGACGTGGCCGCGCCGCGGCCGCGCGAGGAGGCGGGGCGGAGATCGCGCCGAGGGCGGCGGGCGGCCGCGCCAGGGCGGCGCGCGCGGTGAGTGTGCGTGTGGCGGCGGCGGCGCCTGCTCCGGGTTCGGGCTGAGTTCTGGGCACGGCCGGCGGCAGCGCTGGACGGTGGCACGGAATCCTATGGGCCGGGCGTCTTGGGCGTCGCGGCGGTTGGGGCGCCCTCGCCTCTAGAGGCTTGGTCCCGTCGGGTCTGTCCGCCCTGCCGCAGTAGCCCGAGTGGTGGCTGCGGTTTAGCAGTTTTCCTTCTCGCCAACCTTCTACGCCGCAGCCTGCGCGACCATGGCTGCTTTGCCCTCGACCTTGCTGCTCCTCAGCTACTCTTGCAATCTTTCTCCGTTTCCTGGCTTCTAACTTGCAGGTTCCTTAGGGGACGGCGCACTAGCGGACGTCCCAGGCCAAACGTTTCTGAGAGGCAATCGAGGACTTTTCCTAGGGCAGTGGCGAGGCTGTCATCTTCCGCAGGACAGAGCGTCCGGGTGCCGTGGAGTGGGGTCGCCAGGCGGATCCTGGGCTCCCTGGGTCCTGTGTGGCCCATGCCGCCCGCCCAGGACCATTAGCCAATACCTCCTTCGTTCGAAGTCTCTTTTTCTGCAAGTTGCATAAAGTTGAAAGCTCTTGCTTCACCCCCACCCCGCCCCCAAATCTTGACTACACCCCGGAAAGGAGGTGTACTCGAAAGGACTCTCATTTGTCAGGGGAGGAGCTCTACAATTATACCTTCATTCAGTGAGAGAGAGTCAGTGAGTCATTAAGGAAGATGGGTATTCTGGCTTCCAGTTTCGTGGTTAAGGCTTGAGGTTGAAGCTTTGCTCCGCGGTATTCTCTATTTCAAATTATATTTCGAATTTCTTTAAAACGTCATTGTAGATCCTTCTCCATTTCCCCAGGAGAAATGAATCCTATACCCCTTCTTGAGGTCTTTGATAATCCCCTTCCCTTATTTTTTTCACTTAACGTAGTTTTTATTTCTCAATTCTGTGATTAGAGGAAACTCGCCGGTTTGGTAAGGAGCCCTGAAAACCTTAGACCTGGCATCTGCTAGCATGATTATGCCTTGTTCTCACCGTTTCTGGTGCATTTTGACCTCTATTTCTCATGGGTCCATGAGTAAAATTACAGTACATTGAAGGGTTACCTCTGATATGAAATCTATAAAGTCACGATTATTTTTGTGTGTCTCAAGTTCTATAAAAACAACCTATTGATAACTTGGAGAAGAAAGAGTAGGGCATCCTCTGTCATTGTCTGTATATTTAGAATTCATTCAAAAAATTATAGAAGCCCAAAACTTGCTTGAAGGTAGGCCTACAGATTCATTTGTAAACATAACAAGAGTACTTTGTAATATGTGCATAATACTTAAAGTACTTTATTGTATCACACATGTTTTTATAGGCTTTGCTTTTGTAGATAAAACTGTTGTGACTTGACTATGGCCAAGAGAAATGTCAAGATGTTTTACTCTGATAGAAGTGGTTCTAGAATCAACAGTCTTCTGAATTTCCACATTCCCTACCAAAGAACTGAGTGTTATTATTCAGTTATTGTTTAGTGAGAAACAACTGATGGTACAGATAGTACATTAGGAAGCTGCTATTTATCTGGTAGCATTTCCTTCTTCAATTGATGGTAGGCAGCTTTACTATGAAGTTTCAGGGACTATTTTACTGCATGTATTTGCTTTGTTTCACTGTTTTTCTAATGCTTTTAAACTTGGAATAAGCCACCTAGGGTTTCCTTGACATAGATTTGTAATTCTTTTTCTGCCTGATTCTTGTAGTTCCTGGTCAACATAGAAATGTGGAGTATATTGACTGAGTCTTCATGCAGACAAGATCATTATGGTCCTGGTAGGTAGACCAGGTATCTGGACACAAGGTAATATCTCTACTAGCTTACATCCATAAATGTATGTAAGATGTTTTTGGATGATAGTTTTTTGTTTTGTTTTTGTCTTGGATTCCCTATCTTTTGCCAAATTATATCAGTTTTCTTTCCCAATGATAATATTACATCAAGTGTGAAGTTGCTCAACAAGCTATGTCTAGAATTAAGAACTATAATATATCAAAATTATTATTCTGGTAGTTCCAAAACTGAGTTTACTCTATAAAGTCATCTGTGATTTTACTGTGATTTCCTTTGGAGACCAATTTCTCCTTGTAAATCATTTTTGAAATTACTTGATAACAGATGATACTCTGTAGGTGAAAAAGACTAGATAAACAGTTTTTAATTTTGTTTTCACACAGCCTCTAGAATCCTATAATACTATACAAACTATATCTGAAGGGGGCTCATCAGTCTTTCTGAATGTCATGGGATTTACTTTCATTCTACTTCTATTGCATATACTAAAAATATATAATTTTCTTAAATGGACATATCTTAGTATATTATGATGAGTTCATAGCCCTACAGAGGCATTATAAGGAATTATTATAATAGGGTGGGGGATCAAGAATTTAATCTTATCAATTTTAGATCAATTATTAACATTCACTATTTATGTGCAAATTGAAGTGGCACAGATAATTATTAACTCCTTGCATTTTATTTGCAAAATATGCAAATTATCCATCCGAACCTTGGCATGTGATATAAATCTATTTGTCTGGAATTCAAAGTCAGTTCTATAAGAATAGTTACCCACATTTCAGACTCACTTGTATTTACTTGGATCCCTCAAGTTTCATTTATTTAAGAAGTGAGTACTCGCTCCATAAGGCTGTTTGTTAGCTTGAGGGATAAAGGGAGGCAGGACAAGAGAGGGCCTTGTCTCTCAAATTGCTCACAATCATAAGACTCCAACTAAGACATTGATCTCTGAGAATACACAATCTCTTTTGGCACCTATACACACACACTTAACAATAAACAGTGATTAATAAAGGGGAGATGGCATAGACCTCATGTGCAACAGGAATTTAGGGGCATTTTCTTAGACTGTTAGAGTCTAAGAAAGTTTACAGAGGGAGGTGGATTGAAAGGAAGAGGGAAGGCTATTTAGGAAGGTAGTAGAACAGTGGAAGTAAAATTCCTTGAGTGCTTGAGACAAGGAGTAGTTTAGTTAGGGCAGTTTAACTGTGGTTCCTGAAGCATGGTCCCCAGATCAGTAGCATCAGCATCACCTGAGGACTTGTTAGAAATGCATTTTTAGAGGCTCCATCTTAGGCCTTTCAAATCAGAAATTTTGGCAGTGAGGTCCAGCATTCTATGTATTTACAAGCCAGCCAAGGGGTGGGGTTGTAGCTCAGTGGTAGAGCACTTGCTGAGCATGTATGAGGCCCTGGGTTCAATCCCCTGCAACTTAAAAATAATAATAATCAGCCTAATAAAGCCCTCCAGGAGGTTCTGATACATGCTAAAGTCTGAGAAATCACTGGAGCAGGGTGTTCCTGTATAGAAGGAATGGGCAAAACGAATTCGGAAACGTAGGCTGGGAACTCTTTCATGAAGGACTTAGAATGTCAGGAGGAGTTTGTCTTATCCTGCACACCAAAGTCATTAACTTGGGTCTTGAGGGCTGGATTTGGCCCATAATGTGGTTTTTCTATTTTATTTATTTTAGTTGTAAATGGACACAATTCATTTATTTTATTTATTTATTTTTATGTGGTGCTGAGGATTGAACCCAATACCTCACAATGCAAGGCAAGTGTTCTACCACTGAGCTACAATACCAGGCCCCATAATGTGTTTTGTTTGATCTACATGGTGGTTTTTTGGATTTTGGGTGGAATTAGTTGTCATCAAATAAAAACCAGCAGATGTGCTTTGGATTAACTTGAAAAAAATAAGAAGACTTGACCATAAGGGGCCTATCTTCCATTATGGCAGCAATTGGTGTAACAGCAAGAAACTGCTCCTTTAGATGGGGACATGTGCTTTCCAGTTGCCACAGACTCTATCACTTCCTGTTGTTAAAACAACATACTTTTACTCGTTTGCGTTTCCTGCCTGGCCTCTGTAGATATTTGAGTTTGTAACTTCTGTTGTGGGAACTTGATGAAAGGTTTAAGGAAAGTGACATCATTTATATATTGTTAATTCATTCAACAAACATTGGTTAATTAAATATGTATGCCAGGTTGTACTGTGCTAAGTAATTAGTGTTCAAAACACCTGTCATATGGTGGTTTACCACTTAGTGGGAGAACAATGAAAACAGCATTTTAGGAACATGATGAGGTGTGCATTTGAGAACAGTAACATCTTGGTGACTGGTGTACCAGTTTAGGGACCGTAACAGTTCAAGTCTAAAGTAATAAGGGCTAGGATTTAGGTATCAGCAGTGGGACTAAGAGGAAAAGATGGGAAAAAACAGAAAAGGAAGAATCATCAGTTCTTGATAAAAGGGTGGAATATAGAAAGCTTGAGAGGGCTGTTTAAAGATAATCAAAATGAGTTACATTATAGGAAAGTTGTGCCACTAAAGAAACAGGAGATCAACAAGAGACTCCACTTAATTTCTCTGTGTATATGTGTAGAAGCAGAGGGTGGGGGGCGTGTTTAGAGGTACCAGTTTGAATTGTCTCTTGTTTTGAGGTATTATATCGGGGGAGATACACACAATTTAAGTGTTTTTAAGAGGAAAACTTAATAGAAATATCAAGATTACATGCTTTGGGCTGGGGGTGTGGCTCAAGCAGTAGCGTGCTCGCCTGGCATGCGTGCGGCCTGGGTTCGATTCTCAGCACCACATACAAACAAAGATGTTGTGTCCGCCAATAACTAAAAATTAAATATTAAAAATTCTCTCTCTCTCTTTCTCTCTTTCCCTCTCTCACTCTCTCTTTAAAAAAAAAAAAGAAATGTAAAAAAAAAAAAAAAAAAAAGATTACATGCTTAGAGTTAGATAGCGCTCATCTCATCCTAGAATCCAAGGAAACTCCTGGAGAAAAGTTTAATTTGTAGTCACAAAAGTGTAAGAAGATGCTGGGCATGGTGGTGCACGCCTGTAATCCCAGTGGTTTGGGAGGCTGAGATAGGAGGATCACTAGTTCAAAGCCAGCCTCAGTAAAAAGTGAGGTGCTAAGCAACTCCGTGAAACCCTGTCTCTAAAGTATAAAAAAAAGGCTGGGGATGTAGCTTAGAAAAAGGTAAGAAAAGGCTTTGTGACTTGTGAAAAAGGAGGCCTCAATAGCAACAGCTTTCTTTGTGCAGTGATTATTGTAGTTAAGTCATGCCTAAAACAATGGAGAATGAAAACATGCACTGCCTGACTCATTGGTAACAACTGGATGGGTTTCATTGTACAGAGGGTCCTTTTGGACACTTGACTAATGTTGTTTTGATTAAAATGGAATAAAATACAGAAAGAAGCAATCTACTTATAGGAGAGACTTTTATATTTGTTGATAACTAGAATGCATCAATTCTAATTCCTTTATTGAGAGATAAGGCATTTGATCTAAGGGTTAGAGGAACCTTAAAGAATATTTTATTCAACTACCCTTCTGATCTATGAATCCACTCTGGACATTGTGGTCAATTTTGGATGAGCCCAAGGCAAGGAGCCTCTTTACCCACCAGTGTGAGACAACTCATATTACTGGAAATTGTTCCTGCTCAGTTTCTTCGCTCATAGGCTTGATAACAATTCCTTGGCAATGATCAAATAAAAGTCAATTTTTAATAAATCTTTTTATTTGTTTTATTGTCTTTTTGAAAATAATTGTAATAAAAATCTTCCAATAATTTTCAAATCTGGCCACTTGTCAGTATTGTACCTTTCTAACAAATACCTCTTCAGTATCTAAGTATTAATGCTACCATTTTATGATTGGAAAATTTTTTCTGTATGTAGCATAAAATAAGTTACTATTTTGTTAAATATTTTCATTCTGTATCTCATTGTTCAGTATTTAACTTCAGTTATATTTTTTCAATTATTAACTGTACCTATCTTCCTAAGAATTACAATGATTTGTTTATTTTCTTCCAACTCTTTCCTAAATATATCTGACTTTTATTTGAAGTATTTAAATTCAGTTTCACTACCAGATGGGGTGGCACATGCCTATAATCCCAGCAGCTCAGGAGACTGAGGTAAGAGGATTGCAAGTTTGAGGCCAGTATCAGCAATTTAGCAAGACCTTATCTCCGGATAAAAAGTAAAAAGGGGTAGGGGATGTAGCTCAGTGGTCGTGCCCCAAAGTTCAATGCCCAGTATCAATAAACTGATTAATTAATTAATTTGGTTTCACTTAAGAAATAAACAGGACATTGTGTAAGTTTTAGTTTTTCTGGCTTAGTGTTTTCCTTAAGTAAAATATTGGCACTACTATAGAAAACAGAAAATTTAAAGTGGTAGGGTATGATATTTTAAGAAAGTTAAAAAATCAATATTATTTTTTAAATTTTTACTTTTTTCCTTTTTTGCTGTATGGGGGATTGAATTCAGGGACTCACACATTCCAGGCAAACACTCTACCACTGAGCTATATTTCAGCCTTTTTTTTTTTTTTCTTCTTTTTTTAATACTGGGGGTGCTTAGCCACTGAGCTAAGCACCCCCCCCCCCTTTTTTTAAATTTTGAAACAGGGCCTTGCTAAATTGTTGAAGCTGACCATCAACTTGCTATCCTCTCACCTCAGTCTCCGTAGTCACTAGGATTACATAGCCTTTTTTAAAAAAACAAACAAAAAAACCCATGGTCTTACTATGTTGCCTAGACTAGCCTCATTTGCAATCTATCTGCCTCAGCCTCCTGAGTAGCACTTGCACACCTGGTGAATATATTTCATTTTCTAAAACTTGGGGGTGTAGTTCAGAGGTAAAGCACTTGCCTAGCATCAGTGAGGCACCCTTGGTTTGATCCCCAGCACTGCAAAAAAAAAAAAAAAATCAACATCATTGGTGCCTGGCCTGGTGAT